TAAAATATTTTGCGCATTTAAATTTATTCGATTTCCGTACAATAATAGAAAATAACTTTGATTGTTTTTATGAATCCGAACGTATTGAAATCTTTTACTTTCTTTGGCGTTACGGTCAGCATAGCTCATTGTTATATTTTAAATAAAGTTATTGCATATTCAGAGTTCAGCACAAAAGGACGCCCCATGCTAACTCCATGGGCTACGTTCAAATTTTTGTAAAACAGAGTAGCGTGCCCTTTGAAAACGCCCACTTTTTCTGAATGGGTTGGTTCCGGTTTCCAACAGTGTTCCTTTATGTTGTCTAACTCTTAGTTTGGTTACAAAAGTTGCATATACTATCTTACTAATTAAATGTATAACTATGGAATAGGCATATATTACCATTAATACCACAGTTCTTTTGTTTCCCCATTTTACTAGACTTCGTCAATTATGATTTAATGTGTCTATTTTAGACTAAAATAACTGTTGTTAGTGTTACTAAGTCGGTATTCAAACACAAAGAAAACAAGTATGACTGGTAACAAAAATTATTGTAATGTGTGCTCCAATTACGCTGGTAAAAATCGTTGAAGGTAGAAAAGTTACTATGCATCGAATCCCTAGAGCAAAAACACTTTCAAGAATTTGGTGTTCTAGATTACAGCTTGTTCGCAAAGATTTAAAACCAGGGCAACTTAAAGGAAGAGGTAAGTGATAAGTGTAAGCACTTTTGTTTTAATTTTAAGCAACTAAAAAAAAAAATTATTATATATAGGCAGCCTATTTGTATATATATTAATGAAACTATCAAGTTAAGCTGGTATAGTGTATGAGAGTTGAAAACTATAGTATAATGTATATTAAATTTTCAGGAACCCAATAGTAGTAATAGGCATAGGTTAAAATATACCATACTCATACTATGCAGTCTCATTTCTGTTTTAGGCAACACAAGAGTGTGTTCAGAGCATTTTCTATGGAAAAAAGGACCCTAGCCTGGTGATGACATACCTTCGGTGTTTGCTAACCGAACATACAAAACAACAGTACATGTAAGTTTAAAAAAAAAAAAAAAATTCATTTGGTTGCAAGTTTAAATATTTTTTTAATTAATGCAGAACGTTGTGTAACTTAATTTGACAATATGAACATTCATGAATTTTATTTGAGAGAACACATTGAAATAGAATTGATATTTTAATAAGACAATATGAACATTCATGGATTTTATTTAACTTTGAAATAGAATTGAAATTTTATAAATCAAACACATTGAAGTAGCACCGGTATTCAAAAGTATTGACATTTTCTTTAATGTTCACAGACTCAGCATGTCGAAGAGGCAACAGCAGAGAAGGCAACTCAAAAAGAAACTTTTTTTATTAATCAGGCTATATCAACAATACAAGGAGTATCTGTTATGTTACATGATTATTGTGGTAAAATAGATACTAAAACTTTTTGTCAGTACATATCTAATGCTGAAACACAATCACACATAAATAAATTAGATGTGTCAATGCAAACTGATGTTTTAACATACAATGTAAGTATGCAAACAGAAGACTATGGCTTTTATGCACCTTTAAGGCCAGAACATTTATTAAAGGAGGTATTTAGGTTATACACTAGTATCCCAATGCTGCGGTTTTTAATGCAATTTTTGATGAATGTATGTCTCATCTCGGTAATCTTAAAGATAGGAAAAGGGTTATGAGACCAGTTGATGAGTTTTTACTAACACTTATTAGACTGAAAATGGGGTTGCCAATGTTTGACTTGGCATTTAGATTCAGCATTTCAAAAGCAACAGCTTCTAGGGCTTTTTCAAAGTGGGTCTGTTTGCTCTACAGCAAATTGTCTTGTCTTATTTATTGGCCTACAAAAGAGCAGATAGCAAACACTTTGCCACAAAATTTTAAGAATTATTTCTCCAATACTAGAATAATAATTGACTGCACTGAATTGGAAGCTCAAAGTCCAGAATCTTTGCAGCATAAATTATTAATGTATAGTAATTACAAGTCTCACATGACATGGAAGGCCCTAGTCGGGGTTACCCCTAATGAAGTTGTACATACATTTAAATATGAAACAAACAACTGAAGTAGTACCGGTATTCAACAGTATTGACATTTTCTAATAAATAAATAAGGTACCTGGCATTTAAATATTTTTATGAAAAATCTTTTTATGAAAAGATAACATACCAGTATCAGGTAGCTATATATAATATTTACTTGTAAAAATGTGTACATATTTATTCCATTTGAAAATAAAATTGCCCAATAAAACATCATGGAAAAACTTATCTATCTATCGGTTCACTTGATACTTTTTAAAAAAATTGTGAAGTTTATGTTTACATTTTGAATTGTTCAGTTAATATAGAAGTTTCTGACGTTTAATTCTTTCAGTAATAATTTCAGGAATAATATATAAAATGTAAAATTCTTTCAGACATTTTAACATTACATTCCACAAATTTCTGTCAAAATGTATACGTTCTACTGAAATGCCCTTTGTTGTCCAGATAACAAAATCACACCAGGTTCTGCCACTTATTGCCATCTGGAAAACTTTGTATTGCAGTCAAAGTAAATTCAGATTCAATATATTCTTTCAAGGCTGCAGGATTCCTGTGTGCCATTTTATTTAAAATAGTGTACCTTTTAAAAGGTTCAATGGCGTATGGTAACTTTTCTATACTCAGCAACTTTTTACTCAAGGACTGGGAATTGCTAAAAAGTAACAGGTTAAAACTAAGCCATTTAAGATTTTTACAGGAGGATCAAAAGTTTTACCAAGAGGAGTTGAATAATTCATGCGTGTTATGCCCACACTAGAACAAGCCTGAGAAATAAAATTTAAGTCAATTTCCTTGTTGAGGAAGTCCTCCCTGAGGTTGGGTTGCAATGTCATAAATGAACTCCTAGCAGCATTTATCAGGTTAAGAAAACGAGTAAGGGATCCTTTCATCAATCTGGAGTCTGGAAAAATGTCTGCAATCCATTCATCTGCAACCTGGGAATAAGGAGAATTTGTTAACAACTGGTATTTCAAATATACTACCACAGAGCCTATCATACATACCATCTTACATAGCATGCAGCACTTGGTGTAATTGTTATCAATTGCTAATGCTGAAATTACTTGCCTGTGACCATGGATGATTTCCTTCTTCTCTGATGTATGATAACTGCACTAGTATCCTGTTGTTTGCGACAATCTCTTTTGGCAGGCCTTTAGGTCTACCTTTTCCCTTGTGCTGATATCTATCTCGAAGGATGGTGTAAGTCTCATCCACTGAAATAAGTACGGATAACATTAAAAATTTCAAATTGCGTTTTATATTTTAAACATGGAAGTGTCCCAAATATTTAAAATGTCACAATTTGGTTTTAACACATTTTTAGGATCTACTTGCGTCATTATTAAAATTGGTTAAAATATTTTTTTAAAGAAAATGTTTTTCATACCTAGTAGTATAATCAATTTCTCTGCTGCACACCATATAATTTAACAGTTCTTTCTCTGTTATGTTAGGCCACTCTGACATGATCACATCTTCCACGTCCATCCAATTTTGCAGTGATGCAACATGGAAATATTCCACACCAACCAAATCTTGCTTCTGCACTGTAAAGTCTTGATCTAAACAAAATCACATGGTTAGACACATGTCTCGTGAATTGTTTAATTATTTTTAACTAGAATCAACTTGCAAATAATGTTTGTTAAAGTTTACAGCCTAAAAAGTCACTAAGCTATAGCGTAATAAAGCATAGACTAGTTAATAGTTACTACTAATACTATTAGTCATTTGTATTTATACAACTTAGCCTGTAGATTTTGTTAGCATAATGCTAATATTCATACTGATAGGTCTGCTTAAATTGATAATTTATCAATTAATAGTTTATTTTACTAGTATTAGTAAAATTAGTGTTAGCGAAACTAGTACTAGTGTCAGGCCGTGTAACATGTAAAAACATAGCTTAATATCTTATCTATATTATTCAGACTATATACTTAAATTTAGCATTAGGCATATTAATTAGTAGTACTATTAATCAAGCCGTTGCAGTTTATGTCACGTACTAAAAAAAAAATGAATGGAATCAAAAAAATTTTATTCTACCAGTTGACTATGATTGACTATGCCATGTTTTATACTTACACGCAAAATTTGTGTTCTCGAACTAGCGATGAGTCCCTTTTGCTCTCTTTATCAAATCATCCTTTTTCCCGCTAAGTAATTGACCTTTAGATTGAAGGTGTGATTTCAAATCCTTTACCTTCATTGAGTCAAAAACTTTTTCAGCCTCGCTATCCATAGTAATAAACCAACTCCAACTAGACGGTAAACGAACCGGAACCAACCCAAGCGATCTTTTCTCCCCGAAAATAAAAAAAAATTTCGTTCGTGGATGTACCTAATAGGCTTCTTCTAGACATCCAGCGAGTCAGTGGTATTTGGCCTTTATATTATATACATAAACTAATGTGACGTTTTCAATACGGTAGCAAAAAAAAAAAAAAAAATGTGTTTCTCTTAAATAAAGAAATTTTATTTAATGATTTGATTTGAGTAGAATAATACGTCTTTTCAATTTAATATTTACTATCATCATTCCAAATATTGAAATAATTATCAATGTTTTCTTTTCTCAGACAAATCAGAAAATGGGGTGGTGAGATAAAGGAAGAGGAGTGGGCTTTCAAGGGTTGAGGGGTGAGAACTAGCTAGGTGCATCATGGTATCTGGTAATGGGTTTACTGATCTGTTGGTTCCTCAGAGTCAGAGTAACATACATAAATATTCAGTTAAATCTGCAGGTCTGTCACTGGAACCACAACCCAAGCCAAAATAACACTAAACAATTTAAACTTCAGGTCATGTATGAATTTATTCATTATTTTGGGCAGTATATTTACAAACATGTGCATTTAAAAGGTTATTAAGAAATATATGCAGAAAAGCAAATTTATTTGAAAATCTCATTAGAAATCATCCTGTATTTACTAAAGATAAACAACCATAGTTACTGATTAGAATTGTTTTAAATTCATCATTGATTCTGTACACACAAATTTTAAATGTTTTCAAAATATATTCACAGGCCTAAAATATACAATTCACCATTTTGCAATAAACTGACTTGACAATACAGGTCGCTAAGATAGTCCCCATTAAAACACACAGATCTCAGGGCAGCTGACATATAACAACGTTACACAAGGAGTAAATCTCAATCACTCACTAAGCTACGGTACGATTCAAGTTGGTCATGAATGTTGGATAATAATATTATCATTGGATCTTTGGCCCTGTCAATAGAGATAAGAACATAGGCCTTGTAGACATGGGGAACAAAAGGCTGTTTTAACACAGAATATTTTAGCAGGTATATAGTTATATTACTTTCCAGTCAGACTTAAGAGTTCCCTCAGTGGAAAGCTAAGGTCTTTATTAAAATGGACAACAAATGATTCCCCAATGGTAAACTCTCCTGGGAAATTTCATCTGTTGCGACAAGTCGTAAACCATTGAAAGTGATTAGGAAATATTTTTACTAAAAAGAAGTCAAGTGTTGCGTACGTGGTGGAAATGTTATTTCTTTCAACCAAACCAAATCTCATCATATCCCATTTTTTTTGTTAATCCAATGAGGAGATCTACATACAGGTACTGGGTATGTCAAAGGTCCTATATAAACTGTCTATGGAAACTCAAAAATTCTTCTTTTTCTTTAAGCCTGACTAGCATGGGTCATTTAACAGATAACTAATATCACTGAGGATCTGAACTAATACATCAGCTGGTGAGACTTATATTTATAATTTATAGACACACAAAAAGAAATAATTATAAATTATAGTTGCTCCAGAATTCATTCAAATATTCCAGATATTCTTAAATACAAGCCTTACAATTTCTATAGCACTCTGTGTTAGTGTGAACTCAATATATACATACAACAAAACAGCTCAAATTAAGTCTAAGTTTTTACATCAATATGGATCAATCTAATAAAAGGAACAAAAAGATATATATAAAATGGTTTCACGACCAAATAACATCAAATTGAAGATATACTATAATATAAACAAAGAAACCTGCCCAAGTTTCACACAATGTGGCAATTTGGATAACTCTAGTCAAGTCCAGATCCATGAACAGGGGCACAAACCAAAGTCACAGAAGTAAAGAGCTATGACTATGAATGAAAGTATGCAAGAATAAAATGTTACACATCATGCACGGTCAATACTATCATTTGATTGTGTCAAGTTCCCTTAAAATTAAAATATATTCAGCTCTGAAATAGCTATTTGAAAACATTGCCCAACTTCACTATTCATACTTAACTAATTAGCAATCTTACTTTGAATACAAATGAGCTCCAGTTTTATTTGTTAAAACACCCCTGGAAGTTGGTATACACTTAAATTACAGCTAGAAATTTTTGTTCCCACTGCATTTGAGTTGAAATTTTAAGTATTTAAGACTCACTTCACAGGTTCCAAGCAATATAGATGGATTAACAAAACCTAGGACTTAGGTTTACAATTTGTAAAATCGGGTACGCTTATTTGAGCTATAATGATAGTAGTATTCATTGCTTGAGGCCCAATCTTTCGGTATGGAACTATATAAATAGACAAAGAATAGTAGAAATACAAGTACCTGAAGGCAGTGCCTCTGTGGCCATCCAACAAAATCACCACTCTGATGAAATTATTAGTAGATTGAAATATCTAAGTAACAAATGTACTTGAATATAGTTGTTAGTTTAGTTTTTTTTCTTCAGTTATTCACTGTGACTGTGAGGAAAGAACCTTTAAGAAACTTTGGACTTCTCTTTTAAAATGAACAAGATATTAAGGGGCTCTTGATATTTCATCGGCTAACAATACAGATACTGAGCACATGCATAGATTGTTTAGTTGTGTAACTTTATTTTGATGGTTGAAGCTGAAAGACTTGAATTCATCAATCCTTCACACTAATCTCTTTTACAAACACATATGCTTATGTACAAGCTTTAGAATACAAAAAAGTATAACTTCATAAACACAGTAGAGATCAGCCTATTATTATTGAATGTAAAGAAATAATAGTGGTTTACACTAAACAAACATGCTTTGAAAAATATACAGGAACACATATTGTTTGACAAGTGAGAAACCAGATAAGTACTTAAATACTTTAATGGAAGGCAGGTTGTTGTTTACAAAGGACATACCTAGAGCCTATTGGTGAAGACATCGTAAAGAAAACATGAAGGTGCATAAGGCACACTCTCACTCTTCGTAACAACCCCCCCCCCAAACCACATTACATCACCAGACAATCCCTAACATGGAATCCACAGGGAAAAAGAGGAAGAGAGGACGGGCAAAGAATACATAGAGACACGAGCTAGAGGCAGACACACAAAGAATGGGATACAACCTGGAAGCAACTGGAAAGGAAAGCACAGGACTAAGATGAATGTAAAATTCTAGTAGACAGCCTATGCCCCAGACAAAGTATAAAGACATAAGCAAGTAAATTGTACAAGTGAATCTTTTAATATCTTTACAAGTGCACCATGACGTATTTTGATGTGTTTGAAAACAACACATTGGCTATGGATTAAAATTAGTTTTGTTTGTGTAATAATTAAAAACTGCTTTTTCCATTTTAACAGTTTTTCTTTTAATCATTTCCAGTTACCCCGCAAAAAAAAATTCAACTTGATTAGTTAAGTGAACTGAGAAGATACCTGGCCATACATTATGAATCGAATAATTTTTTAAAGAATAATGGATTGATGTCTTTCATCTCAGTCAAGCTGCTCTTGGTGCACATGAAGCAGTCTATGGGCTGTAGGCCTAGGTGACTGTTTCATAGGTTGTCATGGCCTTGAATCACTAAGACAGTTTCCCAAACTTTTAAGTTTTGTGGACCGATGGATAGGTTTGACACAGCACCAGGGAGCAGTGTCAGATTTATCGCTTTTATTTAACTCTTTTATTATTTAACTCTAAATGTCATCAAATATTTTCCATTGCCGACCTATTCAATGGAGCTCATAAACAATTACCAATTAATACTAGACCTAAGTTGTTTTAACAGTTAACCCTTTTTTAAATGTCTTTTCTCTTTTTGTAAGGAATGGTGCGGTTCTGCCCTCCACAACTTTGGCAAAGCAGCACTTGAACTGCTAAATCAAATTAAATCATCACAATGGAGTGTTGAAACTTTCCTTAACATAAGTGCGAGAAAATAAATAAAATTTAAATCTTAAAAGACTAAAAAGGATTTCATTTATTTTTTTAAAATTAACATTTAAATTTATATTATACAGAAAAATCAAACCTCAAAATAAAATAATTTGATAAATCAAGAATATATCAATATAATTCTCCACAGAACACAAGAACATTCTGAACCCAAGCTTCCAGTAGTGATCAGAAAGCAAACAGTTCTTACTTTATGCCAACTTTGAACAAATAGAACATTGCAATTGGGAAAAATTTACTTTAATGCATGAAACAAGAAAAAAAAACACAAGTTGAAATGTTCTAAATTATTATTCAGATGATTTACCCAAGCAAATGTATACATTCTTTATAAGTTTGACACAAATGCACTTTTCTTTTTATAACTAAATATCACAATATGTGACAGTATTAAGTTATTTACGTGTCAATATCAAAATATTCAAATATGCTTTGCTTTAAAATTAACAGCAGCCAAAAATTGTATACAGAGTTAAAAGTGCTAGATGTACTTAGTGGAGACTTGCAGTATGACAAAGTGTGTTCTTTTTGGTCAACTTAAAAAATAAAATGTCAAAAATATTGTTCAAAAACTAATTGCTTTACTTCCTTTTCTTAAATTATTAAACTTGTTTCCTCTTAAAAAAAAAGAAAAACATATAAACTCAGAAAAATATTACAGCAGTGTTCAGATTCTTGCATTTTAATTAAATTATTACAAAAAACTTCACAGTTCTGTAATACTTTATATATATTAACAATCTTTGATGAATTGTTTCAATTAATCTCCAAATTTCCAGCCAGAAAGTATAAAGTCTAATATTAGACGATTTGTTAAAATAGAAGAAATTATTTCCTGCAGACACAAATTTTGTTTATTGCAAAACATAAGTTCTTTAATTTATGGCCTCATTTCCATAGATCTTAATGTTGACAAATTGTGTAATAATTTAGCAAGCAAGGTCTAGGCACTTTGTAGATACATTCAATTTACTTCCAGGTATCCCGGGTATATCACAATTAGTCCATGGGAACACTGAAAGTGTCTGAGCTTTTAACCCAGTCATCTATGCTACAACACTTCACATTTTAAGCTATTTCAAGTTACTCAGTTTTTTTGCAAAAATAAACAGGTGTTTCATTAACCACAATGAATAGTGGTTAAGTTTGCAATACTTGTTATTACACAATTAATCTTTAGTTATATATTTTTTTAAAAATAAAAATGCTCTATTCAAATTGTGATACGTACAAAGGTTTGACTAATATTCAGACACACCATTAGTGAATAATTTTATTTACTCTGTATGGTAATTTCAAAGGTGTTCAGTAAAATTCCAGTCGAGTAAAGCTTTGGTACTCCACTATCAGATTTATTTGCATTTTTCCACATGAAGAATTTATGTTACAGAACAATTCAATCATTTATATTAGATTTTTAAAAAGAGATCTTTATAATACCAAGCTTGTAATGTCTTGTACAAATGAAAAAGATGGAAAATTTTTGTCACTTGTACTAGGTACTCTTACTAACTCATTGACAAACTGTTGGTGAAATAAATGTAAACAGCACACTTTCCATAGCTACCCAGTTTGCTTAAGGTTATTGACGTTAAGCATTGAGCTGTAACTGGATGATTCTATTGCAACTTATCAATGTAAGCATGACAAGCAGTTTGAAAGGGAGAGGGCATTTTGATGTATTAGTGACAAGACACATGACTAACAATGACTATTGTAAAAGAGAGATGAGCCCTGCTGCTGCTTGAGACTAATAAATAAGTAAGTTAAGCCTCAATATACTCCCACTGGTCTTTTTCATAACCTTCATGCACATGGTCTAGTAGCACATTTCTCCGACTTTCACAATATCTGAAATAAAAAAAAAATGTTATTCCCTTTCAAACATTTATAATTTTTAACTATGGGTAATATAAAGAGGCACTGGGGTTTGTGCTGCCTGAATTTGTTAACTATCAATTGAGTCACATTAACTCTTAAGCTTCAAATCGTGATACTTATTGGATTGAAAGCAACTAATATAAAAAGTAAAAATCTTGATCTTAACTAACTTCTACTATAGTTATTTAGTTAGAAAGTAATAAGTTTATTTCATATTTTTATGACTTAAAAGAGACTAGACAATATCTTAGGCTTCTAATTCTGATTGATGTACAAAGCCATATTTAAGTCCTTTGAATTGAAATGTACACTGATTGCCTTTTCACCCTCCATTTTAGGTGTTTTTTAAGATTGTACCTTTACTGGCAACTTACATGCAACCCTATTTGTGACTGGGTTTTAACCCAATTTTTAAAACCATTATGGCCACTATGTTGTCTCCATAGATTTACTCATCCTACTAACTATGGTTAAATATTCAGTATGAAATAGCTTGATTAATGCTATGTCATTGTACGAATTTTAAAAAAAAAAACATGTAATTGACAGCGTTCAAATTTCATGCTATCTTTTTAGACTTCTGTTCCAATGAAACCAAGCTCAGTCACAAGAGTATTTAAATTTCATTATCAAATTTTCATTCAAATTTTTTTTAGAAGGTACAAAGAGGAAGGTATTTTAATCAAATCAAAAGTTTAAAACTCAATATTATTGCATATTTCTTTTACAGGGAGGATAGAGTGATTTATTTTTGACTGGGCACCAAAAACAACAAATGTTGCCCATTCTCATGATGATCTCATCATCTAACCATGGGAAAATGAAAAAGTAGCTCCCCTTAAAAAAGTAATAAGCTGCTTAAATAGCTTGTAATGGATCTGTAGCATACAATGGCAAGTTTCTATGAATGGTATTTTTATGACAATGACCACAAGAAATACAATGCTAAGGAATTCAAAACAGTTCCAAGTTCTCAATTCTCCACCCTTTTAAAAAATATAAACTTGTAACTCTGTTGCAGCCACTCAGTCCAAGACTCTTTTTATTCCCCATTTAATCATTGTAAACAAATAACATTACCTGTATTTGTCTTGCACCTTCTGCTTTATGTCATGTAGTACCTCTGATGAAATCTCTCGCTCCAAGTACTCTGAAAGCTGTTCTGTTGCATTCTCTAGATCTTTTTGGTTGTCCTGAGATATAATAGGTTGTTTAATGATGGTTTAGACTTGTTCACACTCAAACTTCTTAATTCGTACAATATTGTCTCAAAATCATTCAATACAGTATCTTATGGTAAATAAATAAACATACAGTATAAATAAGATATATAATAACTACTCGCATCGTGAGTTCGAGTCCAGCTGGCCTCAAAAAAAAAAAAAAAAAAAAAAAAAAAAAAAAGTTCACTTCTCAAAGTAGATGTATGACATTTATACTAAAATCTGCTGTCACTTTGTTTTGCAGACGTGTATCTGCTATAGCAGGGGGTCTCAAACTCGCGGCCTGTGAGCCATTTGAAGCTCGCAAGATATTTTGCGGCCCTCTACATGATAGCAAAGTTTAGTGTTAATTCGGCCCTCGCATTTCCCCCATTCTCATATCTATAATGTGACCCTCTGCGACGGTTTCAATCGAATCTCACCTACTAGTCTAATTCTGATTTTTTATAATGTTTGTATATATTTGAACGTTGATTATGATGGTAAAAAAAAAACGTTTTTAAAATTAGACTAAAATTATTTTTTTAATAGCATTTTTATGAGACAAACAAGGTTAAAGTACGATTTTGAGAAAAGTTCTTAAAGTCAGTTAGTGGGTAATGCCCAACCATAATTATGTAAATCATAGCAATCTGATACAGTAACAAAGAATCCCTATTAAATTAGCCGTTAGTATGTACGAGTGAGGGAAAATTCAGAGCCTGACAGCTTGCTCATTATCAAAATAGGGTTAGTTAAAGAAGGCCTTTTCTGCTATAAAAAAAATCAAAATTCATCTTCCTTCGCATCAATAATTCATTTATATTGCCTCCTCCTGGCAACTGTTAGAGCACGTTTTGGCATTTAAAGCCTACATGGAGAAGGATGGGGTGGTTGTTCCTGTACTAAGTAACCCCAAATGGCTCATGGAATTGCCTTTTCTTGTTGACTTTACACAGGGGCTGAATGTATTCAACAAGAAGAAGTTACAAGACCAGAGGTAGCTTGTCAGTGTTGCCTATGACAATGTCAGGGCATTCTGCACAAAACCTGTGTTATCGTTCTCAGAGAAACCTCTGCCATTTCCCAAAATGCAAAGAACTCATGGACTCGAGAACACCATTCAGTGGAAAGTACACTGATGCCATTGCAAAGCTATGGGAAGAATTTGATCACGTTTTTTTTTACCATTCAAAACACACAGAGCCACTTTTCAACTTTTTGCTGACCCTTTCTCCTTCAATGTGGAAGATGCCCCCTCCCCCTCTCTCTTTTGCGCTTCAAAATGGAGCTGATTGATATTCAGTGCAATTCTAAGTTCAGGGAGGTGAATGGAAAAACAGACAAGCATGAACAATTTATGAGAGCAATGCCCTCCACCTTCACCGAGATTTCCAGGTTGTTTAAGCGGATCAAATAACTTTTTGGGAGTATCCATCTGTGTGAAAAAGCTTTTCCACTATGAACTTTAACGAGTCAAAGTGCAGGGCCAAACTTACTGATGAGTATCTTCAAGCTATACTGAGGGTCTCAGTTGCTTCCTCACACAAGCCAAATGTTACTCAGCTGTGTAAGAAGAAGCGCTGCCAGGTCTCTGGCAACAAGGAGTAGGAGGAAGAAAGTGAAGCATAGTTCTTGGGAACCCTTAATGGTTTTATTTATTAAGAAATGTTTAGCAGATTGTAACAATTGTGCTTTATTGAATTTGTAATCGCTTTTTGTGGAATACGTGATGCAGGCAAGTCTCAATCAGACTAGCTCCTGTGGCCCCTGGATGATTTGAGTTTGAGACCCCTGTGCTAAAGATAACAATTAATATTTAGGTGAATGTGTAGTGTGTAGATCACATTATCTGAGTCTGTCACTGATAAAGTTAAGTTATTGGTGAACAGAAAAAAAAAAAGAATCAATATCCAGTATGCATATTTCCGGTTAACATATTGTAGTCTGATAACAGCAAAAACTATCAACTGTAAATGGGTGACGGGAAATGGGGGGTATGAAAAATAGTAAAGCTGTTACGTGCGTTCTAAAAATATATGTCAAAGGCCCCTTCAGACGCAATTAAATATGTTGAAATCTAATGTTGCTGCATGGAACAGATGAGAGAGCTTTATTTCGTTTTCTCTGTTTCTCCACTGAGCATGGTTCAACCGTAACTTAAGAAATAATTGTCCCAAAATTCCGTCATACAGCGCCGAAGCAAAGAAACACGAGAGGGGGGGGGGCGGCGGCGCATCTATATGGTAGTGAACGCAAAAAAAAAAGGAAAATTTTCAAGCACCCTTCTTGCGCGCATTCTTTTTTTACAACCCACCCCCTTTCTATATGGGTTGTTGCAGCGTGCTCACAGGGTCGTTGCGAAATATTACACAATTTTCATGAATTGTATTTTCACTTTTAATCCAATGTGACATCTATCAGCCTTGGTGCAAACAGTAGGCCCTATCTCATTTAAGTAACTAATGTTTGCAGTAACTAGAATTAGAAGGGCCTTAGTGAACTACAAAAGTGTTATATTTATTTTTAACCAACTCTTTATTTTATTTTATGTATTTGCTATTTTCAAAGTGTACTTGTTAGAATGGAACACAGGGAGCCTGAAAACCAGAATTTTACATAGGTGCCGGGAAACGAAAATTATAGAACCCCTGGCATAGACCAACAAAATATACATCACAAGCACCTGGGACATATTACTGTAATATCTCTACTACTTAGTACCATCTGAGAATATCTAGGGAGTTCATTTGTCAAAATACTTTGCAGAATTGTGAAGATAATTCCTATAGCCAATGCATAACATTTTTACAGCATTCAAGATTAAATAGAATGCTATTTTTTGCATCTATATGGTAGTGAACGCAAAAAAAAAAGGAAAATTTTCAAGCACCCTTCTTGCGCGCATTCTTTTTTGACAACCCACCCCCTTTCTATATGGGTTGTTGCAGCGTGCTCACAGGGTTGTTGCGAAATATTACACAATTTTCATGAATTGTATTTTCACTTTTAATCCAATGTGACATCTATCAGCCTTGGTGCAAACAGTAGGCCCTATCTCATTTAAGTAACTAATGTTTGCAGTAACTAGAATTAGAAGGGCCTTAGTGAACTACAAAAGTGTTATATTTATTTTTAACCAACTCTTTATTTTATTTTATGTATTTGCTATTTTCAAAGTGTACTTGTTAGAATGGAACACAGGGAGCCTGAAAACCAGAATTTTACATAGGTGCCGGGAAACGAAAATTATAGAACCCCTGGCATAGACCAACAAAATATACATCACAAGCACCTGGGACATATTACTGTAATATCTCTACTACTTAGTACCATCTGAGAATATCTAGGGAGTTCATTTGTCAAAATACTTTGCAGAATTGTGAAGATAATTCCTATAGCCAATGCATAACATTTTTACAGCATTCAAGATTAAATAGAATGCTATTTTTGGACTTTAACAGTTTTGGGATGAATATGATCTAATTTTTTAATAACATACGTACTTTCGACCCCCCCCCTCCCCTTTTTACGCAAGCGTAGGCAAAATCTAAATAATCGACAACCCCCCACTGCGAAATGATGGCCCCGGATCTACTAAAATTGTCACTAGGGTGAATACGCCAATATATTACTGTAGTACTGTAGCTGTGCCTACCCAGTTCATTAAGAAAACACAACGCAACAATATAAGGATCCCCACTAGGTTTACAAAAATGGGCAGTGTTAACTTTATAGACATAAATATTTAGATCCCCCCTCCCCTCCACACGTACACAAAATCTCCAAAACCAACACCACTGTATTCTCCTCTCAGGGCAGACGTAATATAACTATGGATGGTACCCAGCCAATTGTATTTCTCGATCCATTCACTGCTGGATGTAAAATTGAGTCTAAAGGGACCCGGGTCCGAATAGTGGCAATGCATTTCCGGTTCCATTTTGACTAAATGCTATTTGGATGTCATTTGTGGTAGTTTATTTTAGATAAACTTAAGAAGTAAGTTTTCAAACATATAGTCCATTCAATTATCTTTCATTTGATACCAAATTTTGTCTTACAAACCCTACAATAATTTTTTAATATTTCTTAATATTTTTTAATAAACCCAAACTCTAACTTCTCGGATCTGGGTCCAAATAGCTGCAGCCTTTATATACAGTGCTTTATTGCATTTTCAACCCAACCATTAGTATTCCTCTGTCCATTCAACAGCCGATGTAGAAATAAGCTAAAACTTACAACTGTAAAAACTACCAGAATATATTTTTATAACCTGGTCCCTTAAATCATAGTTCTGACAGGTCTCGGCTTACAATTGTAAAAGACATCTTAAAATTCAAGACTGTACACCTAAATCATAAGAGTAACCAAGTCTGTTTAAGATATAAAACTTACTTCAAAAATGATGGATTGGTTGTTCTTCTTGAGGTAAAAGGCAAAAACATAAGTGTACATTAAGGTCTGCCTGCATAGACACAACACATCAACAGCCTTCTTAAGGAATTGCACCTCAATCCAAGACATGTTGTGTTGCTGCATCTCTTCCATCTTAGACTTTATAGACTGGTAAAGCTGCCCAGACAAAAAATATTTTGTGAATTACAAATAGAATTGCTGTATTAATAAAGATATTATAACACTATCAGTTATTAAATAGAAGACAACTGAGGTCGATAACCAAGCACTGCATAACTTTTTGCATATTACTATGACACAAAACTTGTTTAGAATTGTAAGCCCTAAGAGTCTTTTTTTTTATTAATGTAATTTATTAAGTTCCATACAGCAGTGGTTCTCAACCTTCCTAATGCCGCGACCCTTTAATACAGTTCCTCATGTTGTGGCGACCCCCAGCCACAAAATTATTTTCGTTGCTACTTCATAACTGTGGAGCATATGTATTTTTAGATGGTCTTAGACGACCCCTGGGAAAGGGTCGTGCGACCCCCCCCCCCAAGGGGTCATGACCCACAGGTTGAGAACCGCTGCCATACAGTAACAAACAGCAAATTGTAAACCTAGCCAATTTTTGTTGCTGCAAAAGCTGTGTGAAGGAACTCGATTCTTTAGGGATTGCTTAGGCGTATGAAAAAACAAAAGCAGAGAAGCTCTTTCTCAAATACTAAAATCTTAAGCTATAATTGATTTTTTAAAGTGAGCTCATGTGTTCTATACTGTAGCTTAATGAGATAGACAAGGAGAAGGTAAGAGTTTTAGGCTCGTCAAACATTAATACTTGATAGAGAAATCACATTCGTGCAATATAATTTTACTTTTTTATCAGTTTTATGGCTTTTGAACAATTAAAATTGACAAAATTGTTATTCATAGCTAAAGATTCCCCCACTGGAACCAAAATTAAAGTAATCTGCAGGGTATGGTTGTACAATTCTCACTTTTTTATAGAATAATATTAAAATAGTGCTCTTTTCAAAAGATAAAAACTAATGATAATTTTTTTGTTGACATAACTTTAATAATGAGAAAAATACTGGATTTAAGTTATAACCATCCAAATCTTTCTATTTAACACATTTAAAAAATCCAATGTTATATATCATCAAATGATAAAAACTATGTGACAGTCAGTAATAAAAAAATGCCAGAACCAACCATGTGTTCAAACTTGAGACTTTGCATGTGATTCATATATCTGTTGCAATAAAATAGGTACCTCTGTAAAGCTGCTCGGGATCTCTGAAAGAGCAAAGTTGTGAAGATTAATATGTAGTATTTAAATATCCATTAATTTAGTGATGTTTTTCTATTTTATCTTAAAATGTAAGCGGATAAATGTGCTTCAACAGCAAAAAATATTTTGAAGAATAATGGCTATATTCTAAATATTTCGTGTTTTATCGAATAATGCCAAAATTCTAATAAAAAAACTTATGGTTAAATTTGAAGAACTGAACCGTTTTCTCTTGGAGTCGCCCATCATCACCCCTATTGATTGACACTTGCAGTTGCCGAGCGAAGCCGATTTTGGGTTGTTTCGCTGCAGAGCCCAAGCCAATTTTTTAAGTAGTTAATATATGCTTTCTTTAACTCTCAAATAAAAGAGCTATAGATACGCTTCCTTTTAGTCTTTCTTTGATTATTTTTGGACAAGACGTGTTATTGGTAAATTTTTAAATAGTGTTTTTTTTTTTGTTTTTTTTTCAAAATGGATGATGTTCAAAGGATGTTTAGGGATGCTACTGGGTACGATTATGATGGGAATACATAAGACTTAGCGGGTAATAGTGAATATGATAAAGAAGAAAGTGATGATGTTCCAATTGAACTGAATAGTTTGACCTTAGTGACTCTGATATCAATACTGATGAGTCCGATGATGTAGGCCCAGACAACATAGACCCAATAGGTCCAGACATCGTAGGCCAGTGGGATAATATCACAGATGTTGTGGTCAGGGAGTTTATTGCAGATAGTTGCCCTAAACATGACAACTACCAGAAGACTTTTATACAACAGCAGTAAACCAAACAAATCTGTATGCTGAACAATGTCAACAAACTTTGTTACAAAGGGCTGCCAAAGTGGATGAATTGTGAAAGCCAGCAACAGTTGGTGAAATAAAACTGTTGTTTCATGTTTATATCATCATGAAAAGAAAGAGGGCAAATGAGACTGTTTATGGATGTAATTTGTGCCAAGTTAGACTTTGTAAAGGAGAATGTTTCTCAAAATTCAACGCAAACTTAATACCATTCTATCGCCAGCACTTCAAGTAAAAAATAAACATTTCTTTCATTGTTTTTTTAGTGTTTTTTCTAATAAATTTTATGTAATATTAAACCTTGTCCATATTTCTTTTATTTTCCAAAGTTTGACTTAGGAATGGCTGTGTGGCTCAGTATTGGCCTGATGAATATTGAATCTATTAAGTTTCTAAGGAGCTATTTGTAGAAATCTTCTTCTTTATTTTAAGGGCCCACGATCAATGAATTGATAATTCTGGCTCCTATGTTTCAGAGGGGTTTGCGATGTTACTGTCCATGGGTTTCAATGGGATACTTCACTGGTTGCAAGGGCGACTCAGCAGTGGTGTTATGAACTGGGGGTTGGAATACAGGAGGCAATAGACACAAATGTATCGAGTGTAGCCGCCTCAACTGTTGCTTTTGGAAGCTTGTTCCAGTCCCCTATTGTCTTCGGCAGGAATGAGGAGCTTCTGTACTTCGTTCTTGTTTTTACCAGCCGGAACTGTTTGTCGTGACTTCGTCGCAGTCTGGGGGGAAGATTAACGAGTTTCTGTTTGATTCCGGAGCAGTGCACCAGTCCATTTGTTATCTTGTACAACATGGTGAGCCTGGATAGTCGTCGTCGTTCTTCCAATGTCGACCAGCCCAGTGTTTCTAGCATGCTGCCAACACTCGAGGTGCTTCTGTAGCGGTTCATGACAAAGCGTGCTGCCCGTCGCTGGACCGCCTCCAACCTGTCTATGCTTTTCTGGGTAAATGGGTCCCAGACTGTAGAAGCGTACTCTAAAATAGGTCGGACAAAGGCTTTATAGGCTTTTTCTTTCACGCTTGAGTTGCCGATCTTCAGATTGCGCCTTAGGAACCCCAGGGTCTTGTTTGCCCGGTTGCACACACTGTTAATGTGCTCGTCCCAGCGGACCTCTCTTTGGATGGTAACACCCAAGTACTTAACGGAGGAAACTGGCTCAAGAATATGGCCATGCAGTTCGTAAGAGTGGTTTAGAGGGAACCTGCTTCTGGAGACTGACAGGGTCTGGCACTTGACGGGATGAAATTCCATGTCCCAGCTCATCTCCCACTCAGCTAACCGATTGAGGTCTTGTTGAAGCTGGCTCTGGTCAGAGCTGTTGACCATTGTCCTATATACCGCCGTGTCGTCTGCGAACAGTCTTGCTTGAGAGGTCAGCTTCTCGGGCAGATCATTGATATATGCTAGGAACAAACAAGGGCCTAGCACTGAGCCCTGGGGGACCCCTGACTTAACACCGACAAAGGAGGAGGTTTTGCCATCTACCACTACTGCCTGGCATCGGTCGCTGAGGAAGCTAGAGATCCATGTTTTGGTAGTGCCTTGGATCCCATATCTATGCAGTTTGTGTAATAGCAAGCTATGGTTGACACGGTCAAACGCTTTTGAAAAGTCCAGCACAAGCACATCAGTCTGCTTGCTGTTCTCCAAGTTGGTCGTCAACTCTTCAGTAAATTCAAGGAGTTGGGTCTCGCATGATCTGTTGACTCGAAAGCCATGCTGACAGTCATTGAGTATATTATTTCTTTCCAGGTGATTCATGACCGCGCTTACGATTATGTGTTCCAATAGTTTACATACTACGCTAGTGAGGGATACAGGGCGGTAATTGGCTGGGTCGTAATGCTCTCCTTTTTTGTAGATCGTAGTGACATACGCTGTTCTCCAGTCAGTTGGAACTTTGCCAGTGAATAGCGACGATTGGAAGAGGATTGTTAATGCAGGAGCGATTTCATTGGCCAATTCTTTTAGCACTCGTGGCTTGATGTTGTCAGGACCACATGCCTTGTAGGGGTTAATGATTTTAAGAAGTTCCAGCACACCCTTCTCTGAAATCTGGATGTCTTCCATGGTGGGATAGGCTGTGCTCATCCTGTTGGTTTCAGCAGGAACTCAACTTCTGAGTACTCTCTACCATCCCCAAAGACCGACTGGAACTGTTGATTGAGTATGTCCGCCTGTTCTTTGGGTTCAGACGTCAACTTGCCTTCCCATCTCAGGGGGGAACCCCGATGTTTGTTGACCTTTGATGCTTGACATAGCTCCAGAACCGCTTGTTCTTGACGGTAGTATCTTCCTCTGAGAAGATGCCGTTCAGGTAGTTCCAGTAGGATCTGCGCAGTAAGCATTGGATGGTTCTTCGGAGCCTCAGTACTTCGGCTTTTAGTTCGACCGACCCATTCTTCTTCATACGTTTGTACTGGCGGTCTCTCCTGTGTATGAGCCTTTGGATTTCAGCCGTAACCCATGGTTGATTTGTCTTAGGTTTTGAGGTCTTGTGTGGTATGAATTTCATCACTGCATCAGTGATTGTTGTCTTGAATTTCATCCACAGCTCTTCTGTTGTCGCATTACCCTGAATCTCATGCATGTTTGAACTCAGCTCAGTCGTTGCACTTCTCAGGCTATCCCAGTCTGCCTTTGAATAAATGGGGATTTCTCGCACAGCCTGTTTCTTTTTTAGTTCTATACAAGGCAATTGAACGCATTTGTAAATGTTCTTCACAATAATTGTGGGGGAGATGATAACTTATAGATAACATCTAAAAACTAGTTAACGGTTAATATAGTTTACTCCAAGTAATGATAGCCTGGAATTTTTTAGTGACAAGCTTTAAAAATTTAATGAGGTTTTTAGTTGTTACAGTTTTTAACTAGTTTTGAATAATCTGAAATCAAAAGTCCTTGTTGAAATAAATAGTATAGAATCATTATAAGTGATATTGCTGGTGTGTATAGAGGAATAGAAATAGGAACAAACAAACTAATTTTTGTAGCTGTTATATTGCAAAATCACGAATTACTGGCCGTGTTGGCTGTGCCATCTTTATCAGAGAATAAAGGACCTACTTTTACATTACTCAAAATACGACATTAATATTCTCTCTGAGTTCAGTTGAAAAATAAGCGGTGGAACATATTTTTTTAAACTTGGTGTGCTTATTATTATTCCTATTTTTCAATTATACTTACACTAAGTTTATACCCTGTGGTTTTTAATTTTCAAAGGCTTTATTGGATATCTATTCACAATTTCTACATTTTACAAAAACATTCACCCAGTGTGCGGGTTTCAAGGCTGTAAGTGGCCTATGGACCACAGGATGCCCACCCCTAAGCTATATCATAACCTTCCCTAATTACTGACAACAACCCTTACACTTACAAGATTGATAAAATAAAGGCACTAAAGAGTATTAAAAAATTATACGACTTGAATATTAATAAAAAATATTTTACTTAAAACTTAGGGTTTTTTCATTTACTTAGGCCATATAACAGAATATTAAAATCCTATTTTAAATCCTTTTAAATGCACTGATAAGAGTCTGTCAACAAAAATCTTACCGAAAGGAATATTAATTTTTATATTGAATATTAAAACGCATAATATCAAAAAGAATTCAAGAGTACTTCTCTATAGTCTTAGTCAATAAATACAATTTAAAAAAAAAAAATTTTCAATTAATACAATACTAAAATTTGACAATGAACTTCCATAAATTGTATAATTTAAATAAAAAGTTTAACAAACAATAATGGAGAACATTCAGTTATACAGGGCTGCAGGAAAAACTATGTGCTAATTAGTTATAGGCCCTACAAATGTTAGATAAAAATTTATTTTGATACCAAACATGTCCTTTATATACTTTAGTTATTTCTTTATGTCATTTACAACTCTCTTAAGATTCAAAAGGAAATTTAGTCCAAATCAGTGGTTTTCAAAAACACCCCCCCACCCCCAAAAAAGGAGGGGTAACTAAAGTGGGATGAAAAATTATATATGCAAATTTTTTTAAAGATTTGAGGATAGACATAGGCCATTTTTACTATATTTTTTTTTCAAACATATGAGTAGAAAGTAGACCGCAACTGTATAAGAGGTGATTAACAACACTTGTTTAGGTGATGTGAACAAAACTGAGCCAAAGACTGTCATTCATGTTTTCCAATGCCTCTCAACAAAATACAGATGGCTGGTGTGCATCTTTTAACATTTCTTTAGTTGATTGCTAAATCTGGAAAAGTCACACACAGTCAGTAAAGTAATCAATCTCCCAGAAAATAGTGAGTTTCTTATAACAAATTAGTTTAGTCCCCACATAACATAATTGAGATGACACCTTTCAGCAAATTTTGAGTGCAATAATAAATCAGTAAAATAGTTTAGAAGATGAAAATAATTTGTGTGGTGTACTAATAACCGAGTTACTACCGACATAAAAAGTCCACTTCAAAGGCAATGAATCTTTGTTTTTCTATATACTTTTTTTAGGAGATAAGAGTTTAGATGAAAGAGTTATTTGCAAAAGAGCTTGAAATATATACTTTAAGGGAAGATATCTTTAACTCTTGCCCTATTGATAGGTTACCTGAAAAAAGCTGTGATATCATTTAAGTTATGAGTTAAAGCGTCTTTATATTTTTATGAAATATTCAAAGATTCCTTACACTTTTAAAGTTTCCTTTTCTCCTCAGAATTCATGCATACTATTCTGAGAGTGCTTATATTTGGTGATGAAAAAAGAATGAAAGCCACTGATATAAACAATAACTTGGATTCAAGTGAAGGTTTACAATTATTCACTACAGCAGCTTCAAATTTTAATGGGCCTATCTTTGTATCTCAAATAATTAATTGAAAATATTATAGTTTTGCTACATGAATACACAATTTTAAATTAACAGTCAGTGCTAACTTCAAATAATATAGTTTTAAAATAAAATAATTAACAAAACATAGAAAAATACTCACACTTACCTCTTGACTATCCCTAGCTTTTTTGGCATCATCTTCGTTGTACCTATTACAGTTGTACCTGAAAGCGCAGAATAACACTTAACCAAATAGCGTAACATCAAAACATTAATAAACAAGGATTTTCATTTTTTTGCTTTTTAAATATATTTTTTATGAAAGATTTTATAAATTGTTTCTATAAAGTGCTCTTGAAATATTTTTGTAAATGAGCATGTTACAGAAGAAGATATCCTTACCTATTAGGTACAAAAATATTTTTAAAAGAGAAGAAAGATTTAACTTCCATTTTATAGGCACATTTTTTTGTTTGATGCATTGAAATAATGAACACCTGCCTTCAATGCTAAACATAAAATAACTTTCTATACTTTCTTTAGCAATGTAAGCATTATATTGTGTGTGCATGCTTTGAAAGATAATGTGTTGTGTAAATGGCTTGAGAAATTTGGTTTTTGCAAATGTCTAGTCAGGGTAGATGTCCCAGAACCCAGAGACTTTGTGCCCCAGCTTTTCTTTTAGATATTCTGTAGATATTCTTTCTACTCCATTTATTTATTAGCCAACCACCTAGTTTTTTTACAGGAAAAGCTTGAAAAGTGTGTACCCCACTTACAAGCCAACGACACACACCCACCCTTCACCCAAATTTATTCCATGGAATTTTTAAATTTTTTTTTTAATCTTGGCCTAAGAATGAATATGTATAATAATCAATTTTAGAATTTGACAGAGCTTTAATATCAGACCTGTTTACCCTCAAACCCCTAAAATCGTACAATAAGGTCTAAAAATCGTACAATACAATATCTTAATAGTCAATAAATAAAACTACAGTACACATTATATAGATAATAACTACTCCTATAGCGGTGTTCAGTGGAATCGAGTTAAGTTGGCGTCAACAAATGGAACGCGCCGTCATGCAACGCAAACAAACACGATAGGCCATCTATATAAAAGGTACCGGTACGCAGAAAAGTCTAATTATGTAAACCCCTCCTCCCCCGGCCTTTCCATTGCACGCAGACTTTTTTACAACCCCCTCCCCCAATTACAATAATAAAAAAATTGGCAAAATCCATTACATATTATGTTACAGTCAACAAAATGTGACACGGGTTTTCGCCACTGGTGATTCGGCCAGCCCAGTGGTTCACAGAATATATGCCACATCGGACAACACATCGCCCTGGGTGCTCGCTGCCCTTGGGCAGGGCCATGAGAATGTAACGAAGAGCAACAGGCGCGAAAATCGTCTATAGAATAAAGAAAGGAACTTAAACAGTCAATTCAGCTATAAAATACCATTTACATCACAAAGATTAAGGGCGAAATAAATTTTCCTTTTACTGGTCCGCCCACGTGGGGGGTGGGGTGGGGGTGTGTGTGCAAATTTTCTATCTGGGCTGCTGCGGCTTCCTCACAGGGGCGTTGTGAAATATTAAAAACATTTCATAATTTTATTGCCATTTTTAATCCAATGTGACAACTTTCGGTCCAGTTACCCACAATGATTGCAGTTACAGGTGGCGCTCAGTGACCTACAAAAGGTGTTATACTTATTTGTATTCCACCCTTTATTTTATTTTTGTATTCGCTATTTTCAAGTGTACTTGTTAGAATTTCACACAAGGAGCCTGGTGAAAACCTAATATGGCATAGGCGCCAGCAAACGAAAACGTTAGAACATTCGGTGGATTCAACATCCCCATACCGTAATTTCTCTGCTACTGAGTATAGCTAGCGAGTTCATTTGTGAAAATACCTCTTGACAACATCACGACTATAATTCGTACTAAACATTGGGTGGTATTTTACAGCATTCGAGAATCGAGATATAAATACGCTATTTTTGGACTTTCAGAGTTTCGGGATGAATATTGTACCCCCCCACACACACACCCGAAATGTCATTACGAAAATTTGGCGGTGTTGAGTATCTAAATTTAAATGGACGCCATGCACACGATCTCCTAAATGAACACCACCCCTTTTGTCTCTGATTGATTGCTAATGAAAAGCCCGACTGTTTATTACGTACGCGCTAAGGATTGCAGAATGCACCTACATTTATGCATGAATTCTTGAATGATTATCCTGACAGTCTCTTATAGAGCCAACTGTCTTGCTTTTTTTCCCCGCTAACACACTTTAGTCCAATGGTGGGTAAACTCATTAGTTAAAAGAGCCAAAAAATCACCAGCAGGGCGATTAAAATTTGTTTAAGAGCCACATTTTTTTTCAAGAACCTGTCCAGAACCATGTTTTTGGGAGTCAAAACAAAATAATTATGTAACAAAACTACGTCACACGCTTGGCAGCAGTCAAAGGCGATGGTGAGTGAAGTTGTCGCTAAGAGTTGTCGCTAAGGCGACTAGTCTAAATATTACTGTTGACGCAACTAGCTAGTTCACTGTGACTGTGACACACAAAGCAGTAATATGACAATCACCATCAATATCATACGTCGCGGTGATTTATTTATATCCTTTGACACACCAACCAATCCCCTACCCATGCGTGTCTCGTATGCCACAATTTCCTTAATCAACAGCCCCCACCTCCCCATTAATGCTTATTAAATATAAAGAAGAATTGTCCCAACTTTAAAAAAAAAAAAAAAACAACAACCAATCGTTTTTTCTTGGTCATATTCACTGCCAGATCTTTATTTTAGAGAGGGCTAAAATTGCCAAAACCGAAAATTTATTAATTTTTATAATCGGGAAATTTTTTTTTTTCCAACAGGCCTCTGAAAATCGTAGTTTTAGCGGGTCTCGGCGTACAATCGTAAAAGACATCTAAAAATCGTACATTGTACGCCAAAATCGTAAAAGTACACAGGTCTGTAATATTTCATTAAGAATTTAATAGAATTTAGTGCCATAAGTTCACGAATCTACACTTCATCAGATAGAGTACCAATTTAATAATAATAAAATTGCTTATTCAAAAATGTGTTAATCCAGTGCTGTCAAACATGCAGTTCACATGCGGCCTGAAAACTGAATTTAAATGGCCCGCCAGAGCTTGGGAAATTTGTATGTTTTTTTTCGTGTTAAAAAAATATATACATTTTAAGGTGAAGATATTAAATTTTCAAAGAAATTCTTTGAGATGATATTGTTGGGAAATTGCCTGAGAGAACAGATGTTGTAACACAGGGATGGGTTGACAGGTAGCAAAAATATATAAAAATAACAGCAAAGAAACCATTCCGGAACATAGGGTTTCATGAAATTAAGTACTATCTTCTCTTTCTTTCTGTTGCTTGTACAGGTGAGGCATAACAGAGTATCTGTAAAATTACTAATGGCTTTGTGAAAGATGAATTTGGAAACTAAAAGTAGCTTCATGTGAAGCTATTATAAAAATGTCAATGCCTTCACCATCAGGACCAAGTTAGATGAAATAGATGGATAAGTACCATGTTTTAACGACTGGGCTTTGTAGGGTGATCATAACATGACAGTTCAGTCTTATGGTCAGAGTTTTTTAGATGTGAGCTGGGGTACTAAAGATGTCATATATGATTCCAGTGGGCAGTGTGAAAACTTTATGCTTCCATGTTTTTTTTAAAAAGGTAGTCAAGCCAGGTATTGGAGAGTGTGTCCAACCTGTATTGTTGTGGCGGAGGGATTAAGTACCTGATAGTCAGAGATCAAAATATGAAATATTTGACACGTTCAATAAGTATAAAGCAGGATTAAAGCTGTGCTTATTTGTAGTCAAACAAAGTCAAACAATTCAGAGACGTATTGTGAGAAATAGTAGGTACTATTCTTGAAAGTATTTATTTTTTAAACAAACAAGAATGCATGGCCCAATGAATTCTGCATGACAAATTTTTCTTCTGATAAATTTCCACAGATATCTAAATGTTTGTAACAAAATTTTGATCATGATTTTGGAAGCACTTACATCAGTGAATCTGGATTCTCTGTAATGACCAACATTAAGTCCAAAAAACGTAATGCTTTTGATTGGTGAACATATAGAAAATCTAATGAGGGCAAGTGTTACTTAAAACTACCTCAAATTAAGAAAATTGCATATACAGTTTAATGCAAAATATTTCATTATAGAAATGTTTTATTATTAGATTATTAATATTCTTGATGAGCCAATAATGCTATTGGATACATGTTACTTTATGCCAAAGGTAAGAAGCATTAATTAATAACGTGAAATGATTTCTATTTTTTTTTAATTGTTCTTTTGAGATGTTATGTGCAGCCCTTAGCTTTGCAGCAAAAATATTTTGGACTATGAAGTCAAAAAGGTTGGACAGCACTGTGCTAACCTCTATGTGTTGTAAGGCTTACAACTATGTGTTGTCAGACTTACATCTATGTGATGTTAGGCTTACATCTAAAGGCATGGTTACTTTGGGTTTCGTACTAAGTATACACTCGTTTATTTTTAAAAAACAATACAAAGATGACAAAATAACATACAAATTCAATGGTTTTAGAATAAAATTGGAACATTTCTTTTTAGGCAGCAATAATTCAAAGAAAATTTGAATACTGCTTTTAAAGAAAAGTAAATCTTAACCCTTACTAAACTAGACATTTAATAATGGTTAGGCTTCAAAGTACCAAGACCAGATTAACACCTTCAAACAGCAGGTTTTTCATTTTAAATGTCAACCTTTTTAAGCATCTTTCATTTGTATGTCAAATTTGTATGTTAATTTTTAGGGTCATATATTAAGATCTTTTTCTATTTTTAAAAACAATGAGAGCGTGTAATTATCAATAAGGGCATTAATAAAGTGTCTGGAATAGTCATTTCTCTTCTTATTTAGCCCAGAAATTAACTAAATTTTGTTTTGAAATGATTAGCAAATAGATAATAGTCTGATTTCTTACCAAGAGGATCCATGGGGTTCCCAGGGTCCAAGACAAACCCAGCAGAAGTCTGCCTTACAGTTCTGATTTTTACAGACCATATGGTTGCAGCCGCCATCTTTCTCTATCGTAACGTGACATTTTGGGCACTCCTGGAAAAATATTTATACCATAAAAGTCAAAGGGACGTATGATGCTATATGTATCAAAAACAATCTTGTTCATTTTAATATAATTAAAAATATCAAAGACTTCTTATATATATAACCCGATAAACATCATAAAGGCCAATGATCTACCCTAATTCCCCTTTCTGTGGTGTAACGGATGATATAATCGGCTGTTAGCAAAATCATCATTAAAACTGCGAAAGATTTCAAAAAATTTAATGTAAGTTGGTTAAGGGGAAATCATCTTATAGAAATGAGTTTGCTTCCAATTTCCATTTCTATCTGTGTTTTTACATGCTTTTATCAGGCTTCTTTTGTGATTAATCAGGAGTAAAATTAGCTTCCATTATATTTGTCTGATGCTGGGAGGGTCCCTCTTTAGATTTCAAAATCAACACTAATTGCAATTATTTCAAAAGCATTAAAATGATAACGATGATTTCTAAGAGGTTCCACGTGATACTAATCACAGTATTAGCTCGAGTCAGATATTGAAATTTTAGCCCTAAACTTAATCATATTGTCACAAACAAATTCGTATGGAAAATGGTTGAGATTGAACAGAAAAGACAAAGATATGATCCCACAGAAAAACCCTAAAGAGATTCACAGACATTTGAGTTTGAGTATGGTCTGAGTATTAATTAATAAAAAATTGAATAACTTCAATTAAAAAGATATGTTTTCTCTCTTGTATTTTGTATTACAGAAATTTGAAGATAATGAATGAAAAAATATCACCAAAATTACATTTTCAAAATAAGTGCCTATAATTTAACATTTTCTGAAAGGATATTACTTTTAGGATATTTAATTATTTTTCATACTATTTGATTGATTCCTTAACCAAAGTATTTTCTGAAAATGTATACATTTAAGGGTCTCTGAATTCAATTTGTTTGGGATTTCATTATTATAGACAAGCATATTAAAATGAAAATGGTTTGATGCTACAGATCAAATGCACTTGAAAGTAAAGGGTTCAATAAACTGTATTCAGAACTGGGTCAAACATCAGTATTTTAAAAAAATGAGTCATTGGCAGACTTGCTGAGGGTACCTTTTAAAAATGATCTGCCTTCACCTTCATGTTGTCTGGCATGGTTATCGGATAAAACCCATCTGGCTATTAATACCACCCTCTTTAAGACTCCACCCTAGAGGATGACCAGCTGATGTATGGCTTGGATTGGGCCAGACCTTGCGCTTGGTCACGAAAATGATTTTGTATGAGAAAGAACAAATATCCTCTTGCCTTTATTTCATTATCTAAGTCAGAAATTTAGCCATTAAATTTGATTGTATATTTCTACAAGAGAATATTCTTTCACCTTTGTATTTGCCGCTATCCAATTGGATGTTTCACTATCATCATCACATTTCTTAATCCATTGCTTAAGCCACTTGCAACGCACAGGATCATGCCAGTTTTCACCGCACGAAAAACTGAAAAGTTAAACAATTGATAACTAACTAACAGCAGTTCTAATAAACAAAAAATTGATTAATCATGTTATTTTTTATTCATACAGACCTGTTTACTCTTACTATTTTGGCGTACAATGTACGATTTTGAGGTGTATACATTATAAATAATGTATGTTTATTTTTTTACTACTAAGATAATGTTTTGAATGATATTGTACGATTTTAAGAGTTTGAGGGTAAACACGTCTGTTCATGTGGTGTCAACATAAGAAAGTGAGGAAGTTTATTGTTAGTCTGACCCCTTTGGTTATATGTATAAAATATATCAAATTTAAGCTGAAATTGATTTTATAGTAATGTTATTATGTTTGCATGTTATTTTAATTTTAAAGTTATTTCTCCTTTTCTTATGTGTAATTTAAAAGACCACTGCTATTTTGATGTTGAGCGTATTAATTTATTGGTAATTGCCCATTGTCAATTCAATAAAACCTGATCAAAACAAAAAAATCATACCAAAAGGTATGGCCACACACACAGGTCACCGGCTTTGCATCATGGTGGGCCACCTTAACCGCATGGCCGCAGTCCGGGGCTGGACACCATCTCAATAACCTGTTACACTATGAGGATTTAATAAAACTGTCAAGTTTATTATTGAACAGTTGTAAATCAGGGGTTCTTAACCTTTTTTGCAGTGCTCCGCTCCCTCGCGATTTCAAAACATTTCCTGCACCCCGGATTTCAAAATATATTTCCAGCACCCCCACAATAAAATTTTTTTTTATAAAAATGCAAATAAACCTGATTTTATGGGTCTTCTCTCACCCTTATCCATCTTTACAAACATATCTTATATTTAATTAATGGGAAAGGGCTGAAGAAGAAAGGGATGTTGACCTTTACCAATCCTGTTAAGTTTTTAAATGTTTAAACAATATTTACTATTTTTCTCAAAGTAAAATTGTTTTTTTATTTTATGGGAGATGTATTAGTCATTAGATTCCTTATGACAACACTCTACAGACTTCTTTCTTGTGGTTAGAAGTTGCTCAAAGAGATTAGCCATCTGATTATTAAAATACACATCTAAAATATAGATTGAAACATCATTTAGTAAAAACCAAAGCTTTATTTGGAAAAGAAGAGTTTCCCAAATAAAAAATCAATTAAATGACAGAGATAGCTAGAACTGAGTTGGTAAAAGCGCAATAGTCAAACAAATTGAAAATAGCTAAAAACCTCACAATCCAGGGCAAATTAATTCAGAATTTCAATAAAGGCAGTCATATGATAAATATTTAATTACATTTTGCATTCATTTAAAAATCAACTTACCTCTACAAAACTATTTGTTATTATTTGTTGGTATTTCAATTTTACTTTTTGGTCTTTTATCAACTCCCTGTGAATAACAATAGTCTAATAGTAACAAAAGTTAAAAGTGATGGATGGCTTTACCTGATAAAGAGATGGGTAACAAAATCATAAAATACACAATTAACTAACAAATTTTTAAAAAAACATTTTAAGGGGGTGGTATAGTTCAAAGCTTTTATTTTGTTCCATTCGTCTTAGAATATACTTTTTAAAATGTTGTCCGTTAATTACCCACCCTAACCGCCCCTCCCAAATTTTTTTTTTCATCTAGCATTCCCAAGGCTCATTCTTGCCATTTCTGAAGCAAAAAAATGAGTACTTTTCTTGCTGCAATTTTATGGTTTATGATGAATCATTCATGTTAACAAAAACTGTCTCTTGGGCAATCCATTCACAGGGATACTAAAAACAAGAGCAGTGTACCCTGATCCAATGATGGGACAAAAAAAATTTAGAAACTGATAAATATATATACAGAGTGTCTCATGCACAGTTGGCTCAAAGTTTTCCCTTATAACTTTTGAACTAATTAATGTATTACACATGGACATACTTGAGTCCAAGAGAAAGGAAGCCATTAAATTTTAAGAGTGTAACTGTACTTCTCCTTGACCTAACTAAGTTCAACAACATATTACAGTAATTAGTTAAAAAGTTATATTGGAACACTTGGGGGCCAACATTGAGAGAAACAACCTGTACATAAGCATAAACATTGGTTTGTATACTGGTACTACATCTCTAAAGCCTAAAGCTGTGATGAATGAAGTGAATAACCCTGAAATATGCCCGATTCAAAAGCATGGTAAATAATGCTCATAATTGCTAGGCAGCAAATTATAACAAAGGCAGCTATAATGAAGTCAAGTGTGTTCATTAAAACCAAGCAAGCTTTGTTGGATTATATCAAAATTTTAAGAAACAACACTTCTTAAACAATGTTTCATTTAAATTAACTATTATATACTTACATTACACTTTTATCATCTACAAGAATATCACAGCCATAGGCAGCACATGAAATAGTTTGTCCCATACCCTCATCCATTATTTTTGATGTAAGGTACTCAGCCCAACAATGGGCACAAAAGCGATGGCCACATTCAAGTCCCTTCATATCCTGCAATTATTTAGAAAAATGTATTGATTTGTTTATTCATAACTGCTAAATAATATTATAATTATACATAAATGAAAATATAAATAGTAACAGAAATAGTATCATAGACACTGTGCTCAGTATATTCAACGAAAAGGCAGTTCCATTGAATTGCATTGTGGCAATGTATTATATTGTATTACAAGCATGCATGAAAAATCTTGGGCTCAATTGACTCTTGATTGTTATGTAATGTCAAAGCTCAAAATTATTTCTATTGTTGACATTTTACTCAGTTACATTTGTTTATATAACTAGCCCAGCAGGTGCTAATTTGAAGCATTGATAATAAATAAAGCAAGGTAGAATGTTTAACATGTTTTGAGACTGCTAAATAACAAATTTCTAGTTATTCTCTGTAGTGAAAGATTTTGTGAGCCTTTTTGGTGAAATATTAATTTCTTGCATTTTCCAAAATTATTTCTTCCTTTCCTTTTCTTTAAACTTAGGTTTCAATAAAAATGATGGTTCCCTTATCATGGAAAAACCATGATTATTTCTACCACTGGACAGTAAGAATAACAATTTATAAAACTTTACTGCATTGTTCCTTTCATATTCAGAATCTAATAAGACTAATATTACATCGCAGCAACTAACTCATTGTATTAATTACCTGATTAAATAGCAAAATATTAATAAAATACGAAAATCATTTTAATTTTATTTTATTTAAATATTTTTCAAAAGATCATTTAATTGCTTTAAAATACTCAAAAATTTTCGTATCCGGAAATTTGATCGAAAGAAATTTCGTCAATGGTAAATTGATCGACGGTAACTTGATCGAACGGAAATATGGTCAAATCTTTTTTTTCAGTTTTTATGTTAAAATTTTGCTTCAAATTTATTTTTTAACACATTATTTTGTGTTACTATATAGTATAGTGCGTTCAAAAAGAAATTTGACGGAAATTTTAATGTGTAAACTGAAAAAAAGATTAGACCAAATTTCCGTTCGATCAATTTACCATCGACAAAATTTCTTTCTATCCAATTTCCAGTAACTTGAAATAAATTGAAATACTAAACAGCTAAAAGGATTAAATTTGTGTAATATAAAAAGTACAAGAAAATAAATGTGTCTTGAATTAACTAATTATAAGAGGGTTGGACTGCGATAAAGCTTTTTTTAAAGTTAAACTAATTTTAAGACTAAATACACAAAGCTTACAGATACTGTTTGATATACAAAAACTGTTTGTGTTTCAATTATCTTTTATAAAAGAATGTTTAAATGTTCATTTTTCATGATATAAAAAATCTAAACAATGTCTAGACAAGGAAAAGGTGACTTTTCTTTTTTTTTGCTGATATTTAAATTTTCAGTATTTGAATGCAACTGAAGTGCATATACTATACTCTCCAGGGTGTAATCCCTTTCCGCCACAACTGGGTGTGATACACCCGGAGACAGACTGTGATTGCTGATATCTCGAGTCGCCTTTGAATAATCTTTCTCATACTCGACCTAATCCACAAGGTAGTTGAAATGAACACCTTGGTGGATGCAATTGTATAAAGCATGCGAGAGTGACTAAACTTTTTCTTTACAAATTTGGTGAAGAAAAATGATAATATTCCCCATAATTTCAATTTCCTTATTTTAAAAAATTTTGTTATTTTATGTAAAATGCGATGATACAAAAGTTTGTTTGTAATGAATTGAAAATAAAGTTTTGAAATCTCCTCTTAAATTACTTCACAAGCATTTCTGGAGAAAAAAACAACACATTTTTACAATGGTTGATGGCACCAAAATTGTGTAATAGATATCTAGGTGTAAATCTTTATTGTAGTAATTGGATGTAACCGCCGTCATAAGTGGTGAGATGTTGGTAGATATGAAAGATTTGCAAAATGTTTTTGATAGATGTGTTCCAAGCACATCTTGTGTTCATTTACTTGACGTCTGAATGTTGAGAAACACATCATTATTGAATTATCATGCCTAGACCAAGGTGGGCAACTTTTTTACAAAATAGCCACTTTATGGCAAATGAAAAGTAAAATTCGCTACACTGTACTTATATCATAAACCAATACTATTAAATCAAATAAGAATAAATACCGCCGAAGGCGGCGCCTCTCCTAGATATGTTATATACTTACATCTACTGCCTTAGAAAGGAAGCAAATTTCACACAGAACATTATCTTCTTGAACACTATTGCGACCTGAACGCTAAAAATCAAATTAGAAAAATATTTTTGTAACATAAAGTAACATAATTTATATAACTTTATTATTTTAAAGACTAATATTCATTAAAAGAAAATATACTTGATATTATATCAATATATTACAACGATTGTATTATCATTTACCAAAAAAATTATAAAAATAAAAAATATGCAAAAACTGAGTTTTTAAAGAGTTTTAATGCAAATCAAATTCGTACTCTTGTTACTTTTCCAGAATCACGGCGATGAGGGCTTACAACGTGAGCTTCTGAGAATAATTTATCTTGATCACCATCATAATATCTAGGGATAACATTCACATATTTTTTTTTAAATATGTTATTTAAAAAATTTTTAAGAAGTTAAGATGTGAAAATCTCATAAAGGCATTAAATAAATCTTTCAGGTACCAAAGATAACTGTACTAAGGCTCAGTCGGAGAGGAATGTATACTGCTCTGAGTCAGATGGAGAGGAGTGTATAATGCTCAAAAACAGACGGAGAGGAGTGTTTACTCAGTGCTCAGAGACTGATGATTCTGTTGCTCCCGTCTCTCAGACATGCAATTGTTTGGTCCAATTAGATGCAAACAATGAGACAGAGAAACATTCATCTCAGTAAAAATGACTCTATGTTATTTTCTCTTCTTTCAGGTTTTTTGGAGAGAAACAAAACAAGAGCACAAGGTTTTTGATAACTTTTCTTTTGTGGTCAGTTTGCATTATGGAAACACTGTTGAAGAACGTATGGTAGAATGGGACCTCAGTGATCTACATTAACAATGTCATTATTCAATCAATGGAATGTACCTAGAGAAAATTATAATAATATCTCTGCTCATCTCCGACCACCGTCATATTCCACTGATATATTTTTGTTACACTTTGGCTTTAGTCTAGAACAAGTATCTATGGTCCAATGGGGCCTAATATAGTATTTCAATGGTCTTTAAAGTTTCTTACTATTTTTGTCTAAATAAACATTTGTTTAATCCTCCGAGGACATACAAATTAATAAAAACAAAAACTAAGAGTAAATGAAACACAGCCACAGGCTAAACTTGGTTAAATATAAATTATTTGTACAATATGTAATACTTAAACTTTAAATCATGATTATTGTGGCCTATATATAAGCTTTAAATAATATATTTTTTCAATAATCCAAAGGTTGCATTTTGAACATTTTCTTTAATTTTTATATCACAACATATACATATCTATTACCGTTCCATTAGTTTTTCTTTATCCCATTTGAAATGGTTAAGAAGAATGCGGGTTATTGTGGCAGGAATCTGAAAAAGATCGGAGAAAATAAAAATTACCAACTCCATTTTCTGCAGACTAAACTGATTATTGATAAAAAAGCTTTTATTTGAAATGCAAAAAGGTCTGGCCTAAACATTAGACATAACATTTAAATAACATACAAACAGCTTAAAACTAGTTGAAACATAAGTAGAGGTTCTAGTCATTGCCATGGCCATGGTCATACTGTGAGTGTAAGAAGAATATTTGATATAGTCACATATAACATGACATTATTTTGATTCTGTATTTTTAGTTGAATTAATACCTATTTGATGTCTATTTGATGGGTCAGAAATCACTTCAAAGAAATTATTTGCTTTGGACAGCTTTTTGATGCGATGTTTTTGCCTAAAAATGGTGCAGAGTGATATTAGTCAAATTTCACACATTCAACTGTTTAATCTATCAAGACTTTTGAAACTTATTTTATTTTAAATCATATCATTTTAAATGGAAGAAATATTTGGAAAAATCAATCATAATTATGTAAAATACCCGGTAATAGTTGACAACTTAGGAACTAATTTAAGAAGCTGTAACTAAGCACAGCAGAACTTCCATTTGTTAATGTTTGAACTTTTGTCCTAACCGCTGTTAATTTTTGTTTATCGTATTTTGATGATTATGATGCTACAAGTCATTTTTGGATATTATTTTGTATATTTCTTAAGTGCCTTTCTGGGAACGATAATCTGCAAGTTGAATTTTCATATTTTGTAGTGTATATTGCATGTTTTCTTGAATCTATTTTGTCCTTGAATTTGGTGTTCTGTTAGCCTTACTGCCTTGCTTAACTTTTAGAATGACATCAAGGTTGTAGTTAAAAGTTGGTGCAATTAGGGATAATTTTAGGAATAGGGGTTAGATTTAGGATATTTATAGATTATTTTAGTGTTAGGGATAAATTATATTAGGATAACTTATGTTAGGGTTCCGGTTAGAGATAACTTTAAACTTGTGTTAGGGAAAACTTAAGTTAGGGCTAGGGTTAAGGATTACTTATGTCAGGGATAATTTAGGGTGAGTGATAACTTAGGGATAATTTAGGGTTAGAGATAGAGTAAGTGATAACTTATGTTACATTAGTTAGGGATAAATTTTTAGGGATAATTTAGGGTGAGATAGGGTAAGGGATAACTTATGTTAGGGATAACTAAGGTTTGAGATAAATTATGCTAGGTATAGTTTAAGATTAGGGGTATTTTATTCAAATTTATAAAAAAAACATTTTTTAAAATATATATAGAAAAATTAAATTAATTACTTTGTTTTTTCTTTAAAACTTTTTGTTTCATACACTGTATTTTCTATCATTTTTTTCTATTACAAATTACCTGTTTTCCATATTTGTATTTATTTTTTGTTCTCACTCTATTTTTTTTTAAATTAAATCTTTCCAGTCCAAAACACTTGCCATTTAGGGAATAGTTTTATTTCCATGTCATCAACAATTTTTTTGCTGGTGTCACTAACCTCAGAAACAAAAATGTCTGACACCTAAATCTCAATAAAACTGTGAACGAAAATGGTGTGAAAAGTCTGACCCAATCTCTAAATTTTTATGTTTACTTTAATTAAAAAATAACATTTTTGAATATCTAAAAATCATAATGATACCTTATTATCTTAAACCATAACAAATAAGAGAAACATAAATTAATAAATAATAACAAATGACATGTTTTGCTCAGCTAACCTGCTAACCTAATCAGTGTCTATACTTTGGTCTATGATATGGCAGCTATGGACATGGGCACTATCATTACTATGATTATGAACCTGAAGGTAGTGGATAATTAATCAATGCACCTTATTCTTTTTTCGGGGCGGGGAGGGTGTAATTTCTAATTAGTTAGAATTGAAACTTGGAGGCTTGTTTGAGATATATGATATTGGGTATTTGTATTGCCAAAATGCTTACCTGGACAACTGCATTAACTTCTTTAATACAGTCAACCATGAACTCTACAATTTGATCTGCCGTTAAAACTTCATACGAGAAATCATCATCATCCCGACGCTCATTTGTAGATGATTCCGGTGGTTCCATATCCATGGGCAGTTCGTCCTCGTCATCGTTGTCAGTAGGGCCATGCGAGCCATCTGACTCTGCCCCATCCATAAACCCATCGTCATTGTCCATCATGCTTCAAAATCGTAAAACAAAAAGCAGTTAACACTGAAAATGCGCAGTATAACTAGGCAGCTTGCATTTGGGCCTTTGGCTTTATCATTTCAACTCAGGATTTATTGTGCAGCTACTGCTGTGATACTGTCCATCACAAAAATCAACACTTGCATATCGCGACCAAAGGTTTACGTTAGTGACGTCATCTTCGGGAAATCCCGAGCTCAGGTAGCCGAAAAACTTTTTCCGGTTCACAGTTAAATATGTGGAATATACGAGATAAGTTTCTTTTATTGCTCAATTATGCCGGACACAAATGTAACTTGGTTGCTTAAAACCTTGAAGTGGTGGCATTTGCCTCTAAACAAGAGACGGCAACACTATAGCTTCGACGGAGATGACATCATCTTCGACTTGAACGGAACTCTGGGAAATTTGTCGGCATCCCAATTTAAAATGTTTCTTTTGCAAAAGATGATTTAGCTTTGAATAAACATTATATAATAGAGAATAGAGAAATATCCAATAAACTATCTTTAAGTATTTAAAATATAGAAATTGTATAAAAAGTTTTCAAAAATACATTAATAGTGCATATAAACCCCTAGCTTTTAAACGTAACTCTAGTATTTTTGAGTTATAATTAATAATTACAAGCTTAAAAAGTATGTATGTACGCTGTATGTAGGCGATTGTAGGTCTACACCCCGCCCATACCTTCTCCTAAGTCTAAATCACAACTTATGGCGATGGCTATCCCCACGCATTGATCGTTAAGTGAAGAAACAAAATAATATAACATGCAGCTTTTAAAAAATTGTAGTGATGCAGTAAAATTAAAGGTTAATGACATTAAAGTGCATAAATTCCATTAAGAAAACACGTCACTATCCTCTCTGGAGCAATGATGTAACTAGGGAAGTGTCACCCAGGGCGGTTAAGAGTTTTACGCCACCCCCCCCCACCCCCCTTTCCACGAAACAAACTGCTGTTGGCCGATAATGTCGCTCCGTATTAAAACTATTTTAAAAAGTGCTATCAGGAGCGGACCGCCCCTTCACCCTTATCCATCGTCACCGCTCTTGAGATATCCCCGTTCACATACATCCCAACCTGTACGGCTTATCCGAACTTTGTACAGTTCTAACGTTTTTCAAAGTGTACGGCCGTACCGGCTTTTGTAGTTTTTCACTGGATCAGGAAAAAAATTATTTGTGGACAAGGACAAGACACGCGTTCCAAACTGGTGGTGCAATAAATCCAACCGTGGGCAAAAAGAAGCTTACATCCTATTTCTCCATTTAGATGGTAAGAGAAAATTTTGATTTGTGGGGTAGGGGCCAAATTCATGCAAAATAGACTCTTGAGCGCACCTTGATGTTGTAATATTATTACAACGCTACCCAGACATATTTGGTATCGATAAAAATCTTAGCCCAATGGTCAGCAAGCACAATAGGGGACATCCATAAAGTACTTCACGCTCCAAAAAAGGGGAGGGGGGGTGTAAAAGAGTGTGACAGTTTGTGACAGGGGGAAGGGGGGTCAGGCCATGTGTGACGTCAAACATTAATTTTTAAAAATTGTATTTCTAATTTATTTTTATTTTTTTTAGTAGAATTTAATAGCCTTAAATATAATTTTCAAAAATTGTGTGAAATATTTGAATTAGTTTTATGTCAAAATAGCATGAAATGCGTATCTCCTGAATGTGTTGTTCACGATTCCTCTCGCTAGGAGCGCTAGTATGCTGTTGCGAAGCCTTGTTTTATGTATAGCCTTGCTTTCGTCATGACGGAAGGATTATTATTTCTATGTTTTCCGCTGCATAATTATGTCACTGTCCTTTTTATTATTTAATCATGGGTGAGGTCGAATTTCGCTAATCTACTTCTAAGCCTGTGTAAAAAGATTACATAATCGGAAGATTATCTAAAACTTGACCTCACCTATTGTAAATGAAAAAGCAACAGATAAATGATGTGTATTATATAATTGTCTAGTCCAGGGGTTTCCAAACTACGGCCCGCGAGGCCCTCTCATGCGGCCCACGGAGACCTTTTTCTCTACGGAAAAAATTACGGACATGTACGTGTATCGTTTTTACCGAATTAAAATAGAGGCGCGTAGTGGTGCGTTATGTCTTCTAACCGATTATGACTTGGCAAAACCTTATTCGTTGCTTAGTGTTTCTACTTCCGTTCACAGTCAATGAGATGATATAACGCCATATAGTGGCGGAGCTTTGCCCGCCGTGTTGCAGACATGGGTGAAAACTTTGTGACTCAAATAGCGAAAAATGTAAGCAAGTTTCGCCAATTTTGAATTGTAATGGATGAATCGCTAGACAGCTGTTCTACATCTCAACTGCTTGTGTTCGTTAGAGGTGTGGACGAAGACATGAAAATAACACAAGCGCTGGCTTCCCTACATAGCATGAACGACACTGTTACCGAAGAGGATATATTCAATGAGTTGAAAAAAAACATTTGCTGATTATAACTTGGACTGGACTAACCCCAGTTGCCTGACTGTTGATGAAGGAAAGTACATGAGTGGCATTAAGAAAGGCTTGGTTGGACAAGTGAAGCAGATGTGTAATGAGAAAAAATGCTACAACCAATGTTCATCACTGTATTATTCAGCAGAAAGCTTTGTTTGAAAAATATGTGGACATTAGCAGCGTACTGAATCCTGTGATCAAGAGGGTTATATTAATAAGGTCACAAGGGCTCACAGCAATAAGATGGCTAAGTTGTGAGAAAGACATGAGCTGAGTATTTAAGTTAAGAAACGAAAAAGGTGACTTCCTGAAAATTAAAGGCAAGCCACAGCCATTACTGCCTGATGAAGAGTGGGTGTGATGGAAATTGGCCTTTGCTGCAGACATAAATAGTCATTTAAATTTTCTGAACCTAAAACTACAAGAAGAGGAAAATCTAGTTTCTGATCTATACACCCACCTAAAGGCCTTCAGATCCAAACTCGTCTTATTTTTTTTTTTTTTGGAACTAGTACAGGCCAACAACTTGACGCACTTTCAGCAGTGCAAGGTCTTCATGGCTGAAGCAACAGCGGAGTTCCCCATGTCATTTTCAGCAGCGATTTTCTGAATTTGATTTAAAGGCAGAAGAAGTGAGATTTTTCAAAACCCATTTGAAGCAGATGTGGCCAGTCGCCCAGATGAACTGCACCTGGAGGTCATTGAGTTGCACGCAAATGACCTCCTTATGGACAAGTTAAAAGAAGGACCGTGGGTTTTTAACTAGTTTTCGTCCAATGAAGACTTTCCTAATTTCAAAACATTTGCATCAATGTAGCTTTCAAACTTTGGAACAACATACCTTTGTGAAAAAACATTTTCAAGAACGAAATAAGTGAAGAACAATTTGAGAACAAATTTGTCCGATTATCATCTCAGGTCACTGTTGATGTTACGGACATCAAATCTAAATCCAGAAATGTCTGCTAATCACTGTTTTTTTGACATCCAGGAAACAATTTCACCATTCCCACTTATACATGTGTTCATGTGTCGTGTATCAATGTGTTAATAAATAATAACTGAATAAAATAATATTACATAAATGATTAAAAACAACACCCATGTTTTGATTCTTTTTTATTTTGACCTCGAGTGTGTAGTCGGCTCCCGAACTGCTGTTTGATATTTAATGCGGCCCTCGAACTGAAAAGTTTGGAGACCCCTGGTCTAGTCTACTTTTTTCAATTCTTGTTTTCAAATTCAATCTTGATTGAGTTACTGCTTCAATGAATAACTGTGACAACTGTTGACTGTCACAAATGACTGGGGAGGGGTGCAGGACAGAGATCCATTGTGGTTAAGATAACTTATTGGATGGACGGAAACTGCTGTTATTTTAGGGAAGGCATTGTTAGAGTAGGGGAGTGAAGTTAAGGTTAATAGACTCTCACATCTTGAGATAGAGGGGATTGTTTCTTTCGATAATATTGTGTTCGGACCTTCTTGACTTCGCATGATAATTGTTGGGTTAACGACGGGAAATTCTAATTGACCGGAAATTAAGGGGCAGGGGTGTGTTATAGATAGCATTCCTGGACCACCTAGGGGGTAGAGAATCACATATAATATAGAGCTTTCACGGAGTTAAAGTTAGTTGAGGCAGATAAAGAAGAGCTACGGGTTAGTTGAGGAAGGGGGAAAGGAGCTACGGTAGTTAGTTGAGGAAGAGAGACCAAAGAGCTACGATAGAATTGAGCAGTTGTTAGGTAATAGTCGCAAGAGATCAGGAGATGAGTTTACTGATGGAACGTAGAAGGAGACGATATAGTTTAACAGTTTAGAAACAGTCGTAGATAGCTGACAGTTAGTGTTAGTAAAGACTATTGAAGAACTTTTTATATGAGTAATAAAAATAGTATATTTTATCATTGGACACCTCGAGTTTGTGTTGTTGGATTTAGTTCAAGTCTACGTTGTGCTTTTGTCTGCCTAGATACCCACCATGTAAATCACAGAGAGGAGTGGTCCTGTACTGACCACTACTAAGTCAAAACAGTTTGTGTTAAGTCAGGACCGGAGCCCTCCTCCGTAACAACCGTTCTGTGACATTGACAATTAACTATTCTAGTTCTTTTAAGTGGAGATTTTATATTTTAATACAGTTTAATTGTGAAGTGTGTTTTAGATTGAATTTTAATTAGGTGTTAATTAACAAAAAATTTTGTTCGAAAGTGTGACCGAGATTTTTGACAGTTTGTGACAGGGGGAGGGGATGGGGTAAAAATTGTCAAAAACAGCGTGACGTACTTTATGGACAGCCCATTAGTCAAAAGGGTACTTCAATTTTAATTATCCGCAAAAATTATTGTTATCCACACTTCCAATAAAACAAATTTTCTTTTGAATAAAAACTATTAATTCAACGTAAAAATTATTGTACATTATTTCACATTTCCATTAAATCACTTCACACTTCCAATAAAACAAATGTTCTTTTGCATTAAAAATATTTACTTCTTTTAAAGTCCCCCGCTACTGTGGTGGCCAGTTTGAACAATATCGTCTAGAATGGCGTTGAATACATTCAAACCATTTGCTTTAACACGTGGACGAAAAATGAACCCACACATATAAGAATAGAGCATATGTCTGAGTTTGCCATTGTTTCTCTCCTTTGCCAATTTCAACGCATGGTCGATGCGTAGAGTATTGGAATTCCGTTAACTTTGTGGTTGTTAGCACACCGTCTGACAGCATGTATAAACCGCGTTATTTTAGAAACAAAATACAACTGACTTCTTTGTGAACTAATGCAGAAATTGTCAAAGAATTCATGGTGTCTACAGAAGCAGTTGTATTTATTAAAACGGATATAACTGCATAGACATAGAATAGCAGTAATTATAAATTTTTGCGGTGAATTAAAATTGAAGTACCGTCAGTGGCGTAGCGTAATGGGGGCGGCAGGGGTGGTCTGCAACTGAATCCAATACAATTTAAAAACATACATTGTCATCTTCCTCGGGGCCGTTTCTACGGTTGCTGGCGCCCCGGGGACTCTTAGCATTGGTATTCCTTTTAAGTATGATCACAATTTGTTTATTTGACTACCATGTTTGAAATAGTACTTTAAACTATGAAAAGTTATAAAAATTATACGAAACTTCTAACCGGCCCCTAATAATGGGGTAGGCCTACTTATTTTTTTTCTTTAAATATAAGGAGAAAACTTGAGGTTAGCTGGTTACAGGAAGTGCCACGATTGAGGAAAATATTAATTATGTAGACCTAACCGGTTTTCTGTAAGTTCTAAATAACATAATATGGCGCGTGAATATGCAAGTAAAGAAATACTGCTTTAGATTAGGTCTATATATTATTATTATAAATTATTATTATTGGTCTTTCGCATGCGAAGATAAGGAAAGACAATATTCGACTTCAGTTGAGCTGAGCTGTATTTTGTATAAAGTGGGGTAGAGTTGCTCAATTCGTCAGCCTCGCGCTCTCGTCCTTGTTGATCCAAAGGCAAGACTTTCGAGACAACTGGAACTAGACAGTAGATGACCAGCAGTGTTTCTTGTGTCTCGTTGTGCTCTTTATGGCATGGGTTCCACGTTGCAGGAGTTGTCGGATTTTTTATTGTTTCGATGTCATGCCACCTAGCCTACGGGACTCCATCTTTGGATTTGATTTCCGTTTGCCTTCTCTTATTTGAGTTGTAATCCAAGGTTAATCGGCCGTCAACCCGGCCCCGGGATTCTGGTGTTGTTTTTGCTTGTCGAGGCTTTGCTGGGGATTGAGCTCCAGTCTACAAGCTTTGGATTGACTCAATCTTAGTTTAGAGCGCTCACCGACCCTATATGCAGTGGCGTAGCGAGGGGGGTGCGGACCGCACCGGGTGACACCATTTTAGGGGTGACACCCGATTGAAAAATTGCATATTTACATAGCACACAGTTCTCGGTCTAACCGAGATTCATAAAAGGATAACCGATCACACATACATTTTTCACAAATGTAACCAATCCAAATGCGTGCTTTATTAAAAGTTCAAGGTTGATGGATCAGAGATGCGATGACCCTATGTTTAGGTCAGAAAAACACAGTCCATGCCGTTTAAAATGTTCGGTAACTTCCTTAAGTGGCAGGAGGCCATATTTATCTAAATTCTGAAAAATATGGCTTTCCATTGATACCAAATAAGTGTGGTCGGGCGGTTATAATAAGTATAAAAATTTGTAAAAATTAAAAACATTAAAAATGAATATTAACCATTGATAGGGTTAAAAAATATATTATTTTACACAATACTTTCCATTGATACCAAATAAGTGTGGTCGGGCGGTTATAATAAGTATAAAAATTTGTAAAAATTAAAAACATTAAAAATGAATATTAACCATTGATAGGGTTAAAAAATATATTATTTTACACAATTTTCAATCTTTTAATGATTAATTCTTTTTTATTTAAGTTTAAATAAAGAAAAGTTTTTTGAAGACATATATAATATTATATATCGAAACCCAAAAGGTAGGCCTACCTTACCTTTCACCAGAAACCCAAAATAAATTTATAAGTGTCCTTGCAAATCATGTGAAGGAGATTCTTATCATGGATATAAAGCCTGCGACGTATTTTGGAATTATTTTCGAAAGTACACCTGATATATCACACAGTGACCAGACGTTGGTAGTGATCAGATATGTGATAATCCACAATGGGAAAGTTGAAGTGAGAGGAGTGTTTCTTGCATTTCCCCCGTTAAGATTGAAAAAAAGCTGATGACCTCAGTTCTGACATTATTACAAACTAAAGCGTGATGGACTAGACATACTGATGTTCAGAGCTCGGGGTTAAGATAATGCTGCCCTAATGTATGGAATCCATGGAGGTGTTCAAGCCATTCGGAAAATAAATAATAAGAAAGCAATTTTTAATGGATGTGTTGGCCATTCACTTAACTTGTGTGGTCAACACTCTTTTGAGATAATGCTGCCCTAATGTATGGAATCCATGGAGGTGTTCAAGCCATTCGGAAAATAAATAATAAGAAAGCAATTTTTAATGGATGTGTTGGCCATTCACTTAACTTGTGTGGTCAACACTCTTTTGAAGAACATGCTTCATGTATTACATTATTGGGTACTCTTGAAAGAATATTTTCCTTCTTTGCTGCATCCAATAATCGATGAAATGTTCTAATCGCACACACTGGAATGTCGTTGAAAAGACAGTCAACAACGCGTTGGAGTGCTCATCATACTGCTGTTAAAACAGTGGAAGATGAGTTTGATGAATGTTGGGAGAAGATTAAAGCTCTGTCATCACCTTGTAAAAATGTGCATACAAGAGGTTAAGCATAAGATCTTTTCCATGTTGTCTGTAATTTCACGTTTATCTGCTACCTTTAACTTTGGGCTGATCTACTTGAGGAAGTTAATCTTACACAGCACTATCTGCAGATTTAAGGGATTACTCTTGACAAAGTTTGGACAAACCTAAGAGGCCTTAAGATTGTTTCTGCACGAGAAGCGTCGTTACTTGGTGAAATATGCTATTGAAAAGGCATTTGAAAATCAGACCAATATGGAATTTCGGTAGAGAGAAATTAAGGTTTAAGAAGAGAATGGTAGGAGAACTATTAATTAATAGATGCTGGACTCTTTCTGGGAGAAGAAAACAGTAGGGAGATGCTGGAGTGTATAGATCGCTTTCATTCTGAACTCCACATCAGATCATCAGTGATCAAGGAAGTACCAGAATGATATGTTTGGGTCTGTTCAACCCAAGAGTCTAGTATAAGCAAGTGAAGAAGAGTTTTTGGTGTATGTTCCAAAATTAACTTCTTTCAATGATGAGTTATCAGAAGATGAACTTTAAAAAAAAAAATATCAAGGCTTAGAAGACATCTAAAAGCAGCTGATTTCTCAAAGTCATGGACTGGTCAGTATTTTATGTTTTGAAATTCAAAGCTGAATGGGACTTTCTAGAATCTCTTCCAATACTCTCGCTAAGCCTTTAATTTTTCTTACGATATGTGTGTATGTGGCTTCATGTGAGCGGAGCTTTTCAAAACTAAGGCTTATCAAGAAATATTTATGATCGACCATGTGACAGTCAAGGTTTTCTGATGTGGCTCTGCTATCAATTGAAAGTCATACAGTGAAAAACATTGATTTTGATCAAGTGATTGGCAGGTTTGCAGCTTTGAAGACAAGGAAAGGAAAATTTTAAATTGTAAATTTTAAGTAAATGCAGCTATAACTTAACGTTTTTAAATATATTAACTTCATGAACTTTGATTTATTTGTTTTTGTTCTTGTCCTTGTTATATTGTGGACTTATTTTAACAAGAAGAAAACCATCATGGAAATTGGGGGTGGGGGTGACACCATGAGTTTACCGCACCGGGTGACACCAACCCTAGCTACGCCACTGGGCCACTGCCTATATGTATATCACTGATCAATGAATTTTTTATTAAATTTTAATTTTTCGAAGCAACTGATATCATTTCGGTAATACTAAATAGTAATATTAATCATGTAATCTTCTTCTATATCTTAAGGGCCCACGATCAATTTATTGATAATTTTGGCTCCTATGCATGTAGATGGGATTTGCAATGTTTCTGTTACTGGTGGTGATGAGGAAATTATGCACTAGGGGTTTGAAGGCTTGAGGCAATAGACACAAATGTGTCTAGTGTTGTCGCCTCAACTGTTCCTTTTGAAAGATGGTTCCAGTCCCTGATTGTCTTGGGCAGGAATGAGCAGCTCCTATACTGGCTTCTTGCTGGTATGAGCCTGAATTGCCTGTCATGGCCTCGTCGCTGTCTATGGGGGAGAGGGACGAGTTTCTGTTTAATACTGGAACAGTGGACCAGCCCATTATTTATCTTGTACATCATGGAGAGCCTGGATTGTCGTCGTCGTTTCTCCAATGGTGACCAGCCTAGTGTTTCTAGCATGCTGCCAACACTAGAGGTATTCCTGTAGCGGTTTAGGACAAAGCGTGCTGCTCGTCGCTGGACCGCCTCCAACCTGTCAATGCTCTTCTGGGTAAATGGGTCCCAGACTGAAGATGCATAATCTAAAATCGGACGGATAAAGGCTTTATATGCTCTTTCTTTCACACAGGAGTTGCCAATCTTTAGATTTCGCCTTAAGAACCCCAAGGCTTGGTTTGCTTGGTTACATACATTGTTAATATGCTCGTCCCAGCGGACCTCTCTTTGAATGGTAACACCCAGGTACTTTACGGAGGAAACTTGCTCAAGAATATGGCCGTGCAGTTTGTATTGGTAGTGTAGAGGAGTACAACTTCTAGAGATTGATAGTGTCTGGCACTTGGCAGGGTGAAATTCCATGTCCCAGCTCATCTCCCACTCAGCTAACAGATTGAGATCCTGTTGCAGCTGGTCCTGGTCAGATATATTGGCGATCGTCCTATACACTGCTGTGTCATCTGCGAACAGTCTTGCCTGTGATGCCAGTTTCATGACAATTAGAGCAACCAAATGGTGCAAGGATACTGAACTAATTATGAGTTCTATTACTCTGTTAGTCTTACTCTTGTCGTAAATTATATTATGATGTATCATCCATTTATAATTTTAAAAGACTGAACAAATGGAGAATTGTTTCATTTACAGTTAGTGAGTATTTAATCTATTTATGTTCATCTATACTAATTGTTTCGCTAAAGGAGATTACTATTTTACATATTATGTTCTAAATATAGTCTACTCTCTACTCTCTATATGAATATGGCATCCTTCTGTTTTCGCTAGAAGATTTGGAGTGTAGCTATTTTATAAACTATTGTCGTTGTTAAAGCTAAGCTAGCCAAGGCCACCAAAAGTCAAAAGTAGTCCGTTAGTAGAGTTAGGCCTAACTCAATTAATAATTATAAAATGGCTTAGTACCATTGGTTTAGTGTAGGCTACTACTCACTTCTATTAATTAATTACTAAGAAGAAAGATTGCCATGGCTACCACTTCTAAAACTAGTAAATCAGGAATTTATAGCTGCTGTAACATGTGTTGGACTTGCAGGGGCTTATTTTTTGGCAATAAGGAAGAAATTGAGAAACATTGTAGTTTATGTAATTTGACAAATTTTAATTTGAACTCTCAGTCTCAGGGCTTAGACTTAGACACTTGTGGCTGTGACTTTTTTGTATGTGACAAAGCTGACTACAAAGCACTTTTAACATTAAAAGAAGCTCTGAGAAAGCACAGTAGAAGAGTATTTTCAAGTCTTCATGTTCAATCCAAATTACCTTTCAGCATTATCAAAGTATTACTAGCTTTGTGTGTATCAGACAGGCCTATAAATGGTACAAACAAGAAACCCTGTGGTCGTGGTGTCAACCATTTATATGACTGTAAAACTAAACTTAAGAAACAAATAACATTAACAAAGATTTGTTCTGGTCAAGCAGTTGATATCAAAGAGAGCCAACATAAGATGAAAGCTAGTGTATGTAATTATAAAAAGATTGACAAAGAATGTCAAACAGTTATTTATAATCCTGGGTTCGGGGTAACACCTGTGATATCAAAACCAAGCTTCGGAGATGCATTCAAGTGCAAATTAAATCTACAACAGGAAGAAACAGAAAAATTCTGTATTGAGTCATTGTCACAGTCTAGTGCAATCTCAATATCAGAAAAAAAAAATACTGATTTGACACAAGATTTACTAGATAAACTTTCAGCCCAATGTAATATGGTAAAAGTTGATTTTCAATCATTCTACATCTGCAAACTTTGCTCTCACAAATCCAAATCTGACAAATTTATGCTTCGACACTTAATTTCTCACAATAATGGACAAGAATTTGTTTGTCACTCATGTAAATTCAACACAATCTGGCGAAAAGAATGGACTCGTCACTTACACAGACAACATGGGCAGATCAAGTTTCTATGTCATGTATGTGCTGGAGGATTTTTGAAAAAAGATTCATTTGAAAAACATATGGCTTCTTTTCATTCCAATTCAGGTAAAATAGTTTTCAGAACTGCTATATTAAATGTTATAAATAATTTATAATTATATAAATTATTTCTTTCTCTGAAATGCTACAGTACAGGTACCGGTACATAATTATTGTAGTTGTAGCTGTCAGAAAATTTTTTTCCCACTTTGATGCCACTGACTTAATATAATTTTATAAATAAATAATTGTCTTAGTTTATACATTTGCACAAAAATTTGAATATAAGTATAAAAGCATCAGACAGGACTACAGAAGTATCAGGTTTAGACAGCAAGTCAGTAATGCATGAAAAATTACTTTTTAGATAATATTTTAGGTGTTGAGAAAATATTATCACTTATTCGGCATCATGCAACTCCCAGCAGTCACCAAAACAACCTTAGTAGTTATTAGTTTTTATTTCTTTTATTACCAGTAGAAATAGGTAGTGAGTGTATTCCATCTATTCTAAATCATCTGATATTTTTAATACACTTGGAAGGTAATTAATTAATGAATTAATGTAAAGCACCTCTCACAAATTTTGGATTTTTGAGCTTAAAACTAGACCGTTAGTAGTAGTAGTTTAGGGATATATTTTCAACCATTTCTAGTAATTGTGGTACAATTTCATCTGCACCTCCTTCAATTGCCTATTTTATCCTTCTGATAAGGGTAAAAGTAAATGGTAGTTGCTTGTAAATATTCAACTGAATCCATTGTACTGTACATTAACATTGTTAAAAACTAAACCTCAATAACAAAGAAACAAGCATATATAAAAATATAAATATAATATAATAAAATGAAAGAGAATGCTAACATTTATCTTTTCTTTTTTTTTCCCAATTAAAAAAAGATTTACTTGAACATAAATGGATTGTTAATGAAATATTTAATTTAAAGCTAAAGGATAGTGTATCTTGAACTTAATTTTTTATTTACCTTCTTTTCCTCAGAATTACTATTACATAAATTTCAATGTTCTGACTGTAAATACTTGGCCAGAAATATGGCATCACTAAAGGAGCATAGAAGGAAACATACTGGTAAGAAATCACATTATGATATTTAGATTCATAAATATGAATTTAATTTTTTAATTGCTATTGACCACTTTCTGCTAATTTAATTTATTATCAGTTAAGAATTGAGAGAGCTAAATCAATTTAGGCAACAATTTTTTTGTCCATGTAATTTTTGTATCAAATTTGAAATATTCTGCCTGTACTAAAAAAATTTAACTCAACATTTGTTAAGAATTTTCTATTTATTAAATTTTCAATAATTTTATTGCAGGTGAGTTCATTCTTTGTCCTCTTGATGGTTGTAGTTTCAAATCAATGTATGAAAGATCATTACACAAGCACTTAAAACAAAAACACTCTCAAGAAAAAACACAAATTTGCAGCATATGTGGATTTCAGACTCGACATGCATCTTCTCTTTCCAAACACATGATGCTTCATAAAGATTACAAACCATACAAGTGTGCCCAGTGTTCTTTCACAGCCCTTTACCCATCAGAGGTCATCTCCCATGCAAAAAGCAAACATTTAAAGCAGAAAAAGTATTCCTGCCCAAAATGTTCATTCAAGACGAGTTACTCTTGGGCCATTCAAAAACATGTTGCTCGTCATGAGGGGCCAAGAGGTTATGCTTGTTCACTTTGTGGATTGGCTCTTGAAAGCATGCTTAAAGCTAAAAAACATATGACACTCGAACATGGATGTGACGATTATCAAGTCATTTGTGAGTCTGCTAAAAAATTAAAGCCTGTGAATTTTAAAATCAAAACTGATCCTGAAGCTAGATTGGTAAATGCTAATATGGTGGTTAACAATGATGTGATTATAAATGAATCAGCATGTAAAGCTAAAGTGGATGAAACCCTAACAAGCCATGCTGTCATTGATATGGATGCCAGTTTTCTTGATGTTTCATTACCCTCAACTAAACATTCATCAAGCAAAAATTTGCCAAAGACACTTGAAAGGAACATTTTCACAAATAGTGCAAAATCCAGCAAAGGAGGTAACCCTATGCTATGTGCAACTAATGCTGATCTAGGTGACAACGATAACTCCTTGATAGAAGATTCACTATTAGATCTAATATCTGACTTCCCAAGACCACCAACTCTAAATCGATGTCAGTCAGCCAGTACTCTTATGTTTGCTTCATTTTCTCCACATCTTATTGACAGACCCCTGACTCCAGATTTTTTCACAGACAGTCCCTCGGTAGGCTCCTATTTCCCCAGCTTTTCGTCGAAGCATCTTGATCCAGATTCTTTAAATCTGGGAAACTTGTCACATTTCGATACATCAACCCATTCATTGTCAGGTCCTTCTGGAAGTATTGGTCATTTAGCCTCAACCTCTAACATAAGAGGTGTCAATCCTCCTTCACCAATTTTGCCAAGCTTTATAAATTCTCCAGGAGTAGGGACACCCAGATCTATCAATGTCAGACTTGCAGTATCTCCAGTACAAGAAAGTGAATGCATGGATATAATGATTCCAAATACGGATTTGTCTGTCGTTTCCCAACTTCCTTCTTCTGACGATCATAGGAAAACTGTCAAATTATCACAAGTTTCATTTGCTGCATCAAAATCTGCCTTTGATTCACTGGACCAAAACTATTCTCCAGAAATACAAACTGCTATTTCCTGTATACCAGTTTCTGAAGACACGTCACAAAACAGCTGTCTTGTTGAAGAATCACCTTTTCCAGTCAATGTAAAGCATTTTAAAAACTGAATTTCAAATTAATTTTATTTGATATTTTTAAAAATTAAATGCAACCAATTTAGCTTTTTAACCAGTGAACTGTGGTCGGCCGAAAAAATCGACTGACATTCTCGTACTGTGGCAGCCGATAAAAAACACTATCCGATAGCAACTTCCAATCCAATATTTAACCGGAATTATCACCACTTCCTTTTATTAATAATTAAATCATCTTCCGGGTAAAGCTGTTTCTTGATAACTTAAAAATAGTACTTTTTAATCAGATTTTTATATCACTGTTTATTTTAAAGCTAAATTGGTTGAAGCTATGGCTGGGCCTTAAGTGCAAGAACTAATATAAATATTTTTGAAAGCTTTTTAGGAGAGGATTTAAGTGATACTGATGATGATTTTAACATTCCCCATGATGATCTCAGTTGAGTCTATTCTTCCTGTGAATCTTATACTAGTCTTAGTGATACTGAAGTAGGCCTACTGAGGCTACTGTCAGACTTCGAGCCAGGCCTGGAGGTTGGGCAAGGACTGACTGAATTTTACTCACAGAAGCTACAGATTATAGTTCAGAACTAATACATTTTATAGTTAAGCAACCCAAATCAGTTCCACAGTTTCTTTTTAAATGTTTACCAGTCAATAATAAATATTTTGCCTGAGATTTTGTACTTGGTTTTAGCAGTGGTCACAGTTTCTTATATAAATGACCTAAAATTGCTTTCAGAGGTTTAATTGTAATCAAAACTTTAGCAAACTATACATTTTCTGAAAGATAAATGAATTGGCTAAAACATTTTTAAGTGTATTTTAAGTGAATCTTTAAAAATTAATGATGTTATGAGCACCTGAAAGCAAAACATTTTGTCAATATTTTTTTTCCTTGAGAACTCCAAGGTCAAGGACACTGAGCAAAATTTTTTACAGGGTGGGCAATATGGCCCACTTTATCCCCATCCATTTACCTTTCTAAAAATATATACTTATTGGGGTCTTGTATCAATATTTCTGTCATTTAATGCTATTTCAAATAGCACTCAAAAGCTCCCACACCACAAAATGATGCATGCCACAGTTCGTGGGTTAAAATTCCTTTAAATTTAATTGAACATGAATTGACTTTCTCTTCTTTACTTCTGCATCATAAAATTGAAGCCTTTTGATAATTAAATGCTACTTAGGTGTTAATGTTAATAAAGGGCTGTCCATATATTACATATGCACTGAGGAGGGAGTTGGGGATTTTTAATTGGGGGGGGGGGGGGGAAAGGGACTGCTGTAGAAGTATGTATATTTACAATTTCTGCAACAATATGCTGAGATTCTGACAGTCCATATCTCTAATTAAGCTATCTCCAGGTGCCCTATGTCAAATTATAACACTGAAGGTTGGGTAAAAATAAATAAAACAGGTATGTAGGTCACTAAGCATCATCCAGTAACCATTTGTAAGAGCTTTGTAAAACATTTAGGCTCCAAAGTTATGAGCCCAATGACTGCAGCTCAATCTAGAAAACTATTAATATTCACTTTATTACATTTAGATATACATACATATATAAACACAGGTATATATAATGTGACTCAAACAACTATGGGTGATTAAAAAAAATATAATTTGCAAAATAAATATCTACTACTGTTAATGTAATTAATATTACACTTTTCTGACTACCGGTATTTTACAAAAAGGCACATTCTTTTAATTTCGTGTGAAGAAAACTAATTTTATCATAAAGACATGTAATTAAATTATAAAATTTGTTTTAATCTTTACAAAAAAACTTGCCTACTTTATGTTAAACTATTTAATAATTTGTATGAAACACATAGCTATGCATAGCTTATACATATAATTAGAGTGTAAAGATTTGTCTAACATTCTCCATTTCACCTTTTATTGTGTCATTTTGAAATTATATAAACTTTTTTAAAACATTGCTTTTACTAATTTGAGTAAAATTAGTTTTTAAATTTTAAAATGAAGATGATGATTAAAATGGGTTAATGAAAAAAAAATCAACAGCTGCTGACATTTTATTAGATAATAAGTGATTAAACTCAAAGGTCATCTCGAGATAGGGGTGAGTAAACAGCAACTTTCTCTAAATGATTCTTGAATTTTCCAGATACACTGGTAACTGAAATAAATAGAAGAGATACAATTTTTTATTAAACATATTGAAAGGAAAAATTTTCAATCACACAACTTAATTAAATAAGATAAGGATCTTAATTTTGTTCCCCTGTCCAAAATGCAAGATAGGATAAGCTTTTAATATTAAATTTCTGTAATTTGTAATTAACGGAACTGCATATAAATGAATGATGTCATGTCATTTTGTCATGTCATTTTGGCAGATCTTGGAAATATTTCCCCGATCACATCACAAACAACTCATAATACATTGTCACAAATTCCCCCCCCCCCCCCCCCCTTTTCCCCCTTAGATGTGTGAATTCTATAAAGAATGGGCCTTACTGGGGTGACAATATTCTAGAAATTTATTGAAAATGAAATAAACTAAACTACTATAATACTAATATTTTTCTTTGTCTCTCACTTGAATTTTTTTCTAATGCATATTCGTCTTTTTTTAAGCTCAAGCCATCTCTTTGAGAATTCTGAAAAACAATATACATGGGAAATTTAGGTGATAAGACATATATATAGAATAAATGTTGATACCGGTGTTATTAATATTTTGTAACAGATTTTTTTAAAAATCACTAAACCATATATAAGAAAAAGATCAAGGTGATTTTTTTTCATATGATGCAATTTTGGTTTATTTTTTACCATCACACTGCTTAAGGTTTTAAAAATAACACCAGACTTATCATTTACCATAAAAATTTATAAATAAATAGTCAATTTTATACAGTACCGAACCGGATAACTGTCTAATGCACCAAGAAATCAAAGTTACATTTTTAATCATTGTCTGTTTTATCCTTCACCCCCTTTCAATCTGCCTCTATAGTATATAAATTGAACCACATGTATCATAAAAATGCATAGAGAAGTTTTATGCTTGGCTTCTTCTAGTGCTCCTTTTACTGTGTACATCAATATTTTGGGTAAGGACTGCAAACATGCATTAAATTTATTTACTTTAATTTGTAATGGCTGTCCTGAAGTGTTACATTAAACTTTTATGTTTGTTACTACTGCCAGCTAATATAAAAATACTTATGTCTCCTGTCTCCAAAATAAAAACAGTTTAAATGTAACTTTTACTTTGTAACAGTATCAGTGAAATGCATGGTGGACACAAGTTTGTTTGTACATGCACAGGGCGTTTCTTGATTATGGCGCAAAATTGGCGAGTGTTGAAGTTATTGGGCTTTAAAATTATCTGAATTAGTTACTATGTAGTGTCATCCGAAATCAATAAGGGCAGCAATAAACACTGAGGTAAGTCACATTGCTTTATTAGAATATAGATATGTTAACAGCTTGGAATAGCCAGTTTTTGCTTTGGATTGATGTCTGATGCTTGAAGTAAAGATACATATATATAATATTTATGAAGCTGATTAGTGAAATAATTATAATAACCTGGTGAAATTTGCAATAGGCAAGATTAAAATGAACAATGGAAAAACTTTGGAAGTACCAGGTAATCCTCTATTTTAAATCTTACAGTACAGGTGGTTATAATTGCCAGGCGATAACTTAAAGAGTGTTGTTTTAAAACAGGGGTCTACAACCCTTAGGCATTAGCATGCTAAAGTAAGACTTCTAATTCATTCAGCATGCCAATAACCATTATAAGTCTGCAAGTCTCGCATGTAGGTTGCCAGCCCCTGGTTTAATTTCAAAAACAGAAAATTAAACTTTATGATATTCTTCAAATAATAATCTATGCATGAAATTTTTATGTCGAATTTGTACTCTTAAATGGGTCTGAGGTTTATTTATTAAACATTTTCATTTCTGTGTTTATTTCATACCATTTTCTTATAAAAAAATTATTTAAAAAAAAAATTGGATAGCCCTAGAAACATACTTTTGTCTGTTTCTGTAACTGAAATGTTTGTCAGTATTTTCTGTTATTTGATAATCCATATGGATGTCAAAATATGCCACTCGGTACTGATAAAAAATGAGCTGTTATGAATGTTTAATAGAATATGTCTATCATATTTTTGTTCTAAAATCACTTATAAACATAATCAACTTAAGCCATTTTCTCTTGGGACATTTCTAAAAATACACCCTCGTCCCCCAAAAAAGTGAAGCTAAAAACTTTTGAATTGAAAAACAAATTGAATACTGTATCTCAGTACAAGTTATGAAGACTCCCTGCTCCTTAACTTGAGATATTGGTATTCAACTATTTTAACTGAGTTTTAACAAACCTTAACATCTACATCTGTTATTGATACCATTGGACCAGTAAGTTCCATTTTAAAATCTTGGAAAAAAAGATAAGATGCAATCCCTCTTTCAACTGTGCACATAACAGCATTGCCACCTTCCAAAATTTCAATACTGATGGCCCATTCCTGTAATGCACAATTTTATATAGTCAAACATTTTTTTAGAGTGCATGTTAAAAGGAAATTCTTAAACAAAATTATTAAGGCGCAAGGCCATGTTATATGGATTAAACAATAAAAATTGTACATAGTACAAATGATGTGGATCAATTTGAACATTTCAAAAAGTTGTGTGTGTGAACCATTTGCTTAATACCAGTATTTTGTAATAAACTTGATAAATAATCTTGTGTGTTGTCTGTAATTTAATATGCTCATCAACATGGTGCCAGAATTGTGACGAATGAACATACTGCTGTCATAATAATTTAGCTATTTTACAAAAGTTCCCCGCTAGAAATAATTAAGACTGTTTAAAAGGAAACAAATAATATTATTAATTATAATGAATAATAATGTTGCTATTAATACAAATACCTCATGTGTTCCACCTTGTGCTGTATATGAAAACTTGCATAAATAGTTTTTCTAGATAAAAGTAAAAATGATAATTAAATTAATAAATATTTAATTTATACAATATTAGGTTTATACAATGTTTTGAAATCTTTGAAGGGAATTGTAAATGATAAAAAATCATTTAAGAAACAAAAACTTTTTTGTTTAAATAGATTTCGGAGGACCACAGCGCAGTGAGCATGCTAAGATGGCATAGATACCGGCACGATATAAATATCAAATCAATCAATCAATAAAAAAATCAGTCATATTCTATACTATAGTAACTAATTATTAGACATCCAAGAATAAGGAAAATTATCAATATCAACTGTGTTAGTGTTTGAGCCCAAGCCAATTATTAGTATAAAATAAGATTATATTTATATGCATACTTTATTATTGGTGAAGGATAATATAGGATGAGTGAGACTGCAATCAAGTTGAAAATATATAAGTATTATTTGGTAGTGTCTGGAAAGTTTATACATCTAAGAGGTCTGGTGGGATGTCCAGGTTTTTAAGAAATTGTTATATATAGATGATATTAGTATTACTATGAGTTGAGTCCATACTAAAAATATAATGTACGTGCCGGGACTGTCTTAAGAAGGGTTTCATAACAATAACATGGGGTGTTTGCAGCACCCAGCCAGCAGTTGAGAGGTTGAAGTTTGGGAGATCCAAGTTAAAGTCATTAGGCCTGTTATTTATTACATATAAAAAGTGTTGGACTGCGATAAAGCTTTAAAATAGATTAATAAGACACGAACAAATTGTGTCAACAGAACAATATAAGTTAAAAATAAAAAATAATAAAAAGAAATGACAAAGGAGCCCTACAGCTTGACTTTGTTAAATAATGATATAAATGTATATCATATGTCTCTTATGGTATATATATTTTGCTTGTGGTGTTACTGCTTCCATTTCCAGATAGCGCACAAAATATAATTTCAGATAACTACGCTAAATGAAAATTGAAATAAAAATTTTGCAATGACGTATCACTGGGGGGTAGGGGTGAGGAAAAAATTGGGATTCTTAAATGTGCATTACTTGAGTTCATTAAGTAACTTTAGTAGATGTAGTAGAACAATGTATGGCGAGTTATAACTAGTATTATTACTGTCATGTATTCCTAAATGATGTGGTAACAAGTTTCTTTCCAAGTAAGCAAGTACTTTAGTTCACTTTGCTATTCAAATAATTAATAATCATAAGTCCTTGTTTTTTTATCCAACAATAGAAAAATTGTGCCAATGCCAATGCATGATTACTTCGTTAATTGTAGGGC